GTACCGTTCTACAACGTACCGACTTAGGTCGTACTGTCCTTGTACCCGGGGTACCGTAAATTTACGTTGTACCGGCTTTAAAAGTAACTACACGTTTCGCATAAGGAACACTGCTCTTCCGAGTTAGGATTTGTAAAGGGTTACTTATCATTTTGCAGCCTGACTTCGAAGATCTTGCAGACGTTGTTGCATCTTCATCACCTGCATGTCATGTAAAATTCAAAATCAGAAAAGTAGAAGGAGGCAGTTTGTACGTCAAGAATGATTCAAAAACTGGATTACTCGTCGAACGAACCGTGGCTTGAAGAATGAGTCCCACCCGAAGACATTTCTTCAACCAGCTGATCGAATAAATCAGCTTTGGATGGAAGGATCAAACGCCTTGAATAGTCGTGTCGAACGAGTGCACCGATCAGCAAGGCGGACCGAGGTTACTAACCTCTTGCCGCTTTTCACTGGCTTTCCTTTCCAAGTCCTTCAACGCCCCATCTAGCCGCTTCCTGCAAGGAGAAGAACTCGACCAGATTGGAACTTGCACGACCAGTCGTTATCAACGTCAACGTATTTCTTGCACAGATTAGCAACAACCAAATCGAAGCAATCTGGCAACAACCACGAGCGCCCAACAATAGCGGGTCGCTTTTCCAGAGACTTTCATCAACAACAGCCAAGAAACCATATCACAACCGGTTATGAAACTTCTATAATCCTTGGGAACATACGCGGATTACTCCTGCTGTGCCACGTCACGCCACAGACATTGCACAGAACTTTGTCCAAGCACCAAGGAAAGCCATAACTTCACTTTCTGAGGGGATCAACCCATGCAAGAACTAATCAGTCCATTAGCAACCGCAGCGCACTCACGTCTCTCCGCTGATGTACTCTATCCTCTTGTCGACGTTTGCTTTCGCTTCCACTAGGTCTTGCTTGACCAGGACCGGCCCTATCAGCTTGTACACATTGGACTCGTCGTCCAGAATGTCAAGCTCCTGCACAGAGACGGGGTTTGGTTCTGAAGACTCTATTCACGATTAGGCAAACATTGTTATTGTCTTGTTTGATTGGACTCTGACTTGCTTCCACGTTCTCCTGAAAGATTGGGAAGATGGTAAATAGATTAAAAGCATGACTTGGAGCCTGGAAAGCGCCAAATGCGATTATTTTTGGGCATGACCCTTGAAACGGTTACTTCCAGCCACACAAAGACATTCTTTTTTGAAGCCTGACCTGAATTGGAGCTCCCTAGGAGAAAGCGTTTTCTTGATTCAAAAACGTTTTGTACTCAACTGTTGCTGCCTTTCAGGTTAGTGTTTTGATGGGCTTTGGCAGGTTTTTACCCAGTTCCTTTCAATGGACTGGTCTCGCAGAAAAATGGTTTACTTGCAAGGATAAGGGAGCCTCCATCGTGCATGCCTCACGCAAACAAAACTGGCAACGTATTTTCATTCATCTTCGTCACCGCGGAGGTATGTCAATGAAGAGTCTGGTTCCGAACAATAGGGCAGATGCTTGCGCCCAAGTCTTTTCTGACAGGTTCAGCATAATGGACGAGGTTATGTCCGTAGTCCCTTACAAAAGCATCAGTCATGACGAGGCTTCCAAGAAAGGTGTAACCAGATTGCTCCCAAATCAGTCGAAGCTTTCCTCACCGTTTTGACCAGCTCGTTCTCGCCAAGTTGTGTTTTGAACTGCTGCCGTAGCTGGTGGTTCTTCTGAATCTCTGCAGGTTGAAGTACACATCTCAGGCAATTGCTTCGATGCATCAAGCCAGGAACTTTGCCCCACAAGCTCGGGCCGCATTCATCACCCCCGTAGAGGTGGCCTAAGTGCAATCAACCAATCAGGAGGAGAGACACGGAGCACCACTGAGCAATTCCTCGCAATCTGTTTCCTGGCATCAGTCTCCGCCTCTCTGCGTGCAGTGGCACCTCTGGTTTCAAGCAGCGGTCAAGAACCCAAGAAGCTGACCGAGAAGATGCGAGCGCAACAGCCAGTTTCACAGTGGCACACCAAGATTCTTCGAGCCAAAATTCCTCAAGCTGAATCGCCTGACTTCAGGCAAGCGCCAAATCCAACTTTAAGTGATGGTCTTGACTCTTTCTACTATCACAATCCCAAGTGCTTGTGCAAAGTCTGGAAGAGAGAGGTGTACAAAATGGGGTGCAAGCACTCAGCAGCCACTAGCAGCACGCCGCAAGCATGGGTGCACCCGGCTTGCCTTTCTGTATGGTCTGGAACGCCTTTGCTTCCCTCTCGAGCTGCATTTCCAGCTCCTTACCCCCCGCCATTAGAAAGCAGCTGTCCTTTTGTCAAGGGCAGATATGTGGCCAATTTCAAAAGGAAGGGCGAGAAAAGGAGCAAGTTGCTGATTGACGCACAACAACCGGAGGAGGCTACAAAGTTGTGCCCCTCCCAGAATCAGATGCAAAACGCAACTCAAACAAAGTTGGAACTCGCCAAATGATCAGCGCTCGAAGTTGAAAAGCTCCCTCTCAAGCAATTCTACTGCTATTTAATAGTAGAAAACCTATTTCAGCTAAATTGCTACAGCTTGCTTTGGCCCGGTTACGTGCGCTAACCGGGGGATTTAACTCACATGATAACCCAGCTGCAGTGACATCAGGGCCCAGGCCTTCGTAAATTGTCATGCACTCCCTCTCTTAAATCCCTTCCAAATCCCAGGAATTTTGCCCACACCACCATTGTGCGGGACTGACATTCAGCAGCTAGCTTGAAACCCCATTTCAAAATGGCGCCCAATCGCAGAATCCTTCCTGCGTCAGCCATCGCCACTTTTGTTGTTTTCTCTTTCCTATCGTCCCCTGTTCTCGCCAAACCAGGTTTCTTCCAAGACGCTTTGATCAAATTACCCTCGGACGCTGCTGACCCGAACGCCGCCGACCTCATCGAGTCGCTGCCAGGGACGCCCGACCTCCCTTTCCGGCAGTACAGTGGATACATCACCGTCAATGAGACGCACGGGCGCGCGCTCTTCTATTGGTTCGTGGAGGCGACAGAGGAGCCCCTGCAGAAGCCGGTCACGTTGTGGTGAGTTGACGCCGCTTCTTGTTCTGCGCTCTTGGGGGGTACTCTGGAACTTGTATGGTGTCAGAGGTTATCTTGAAACTGTTTCTATTTGCTGCTTCCAAGGTAGCACCACTGGCTGCCGCTGATTGAGTGCAACACCTATTCTGAGCTCTGTGTATGGAGCACTCATCAAGAATCAGTTCTCTTTTGATGTTCGGACATTGTGGTTCTCAAAGTTCTAAAATTGTGCTCATTGCACTTACCGCATGCTGACGTCCAGTGAAGGATTCGTTGTAAATAGGAGGATTCTACATCTCCCAAGAAACTTCCTTATAGATGGCTTCTTTGGGGTTTAACAGCAGACGTCTCAAGGTCAACATGATTGTAAAACAACCTCTTTGTGAGAAGAGGTCTGGAAACCTCTTACAATCAATGCTGTCCACCTTCTTCTTGCGCCATCTGCTCAAAGAATAGTCAAGTTCTGTGCCAGCATGCGCATCATCAGCCTAACCGGATGCTAACCCGCAGGTTAAACGGAGGCCCTGGCTGTTCTTCTCTTGCTGGGGGTCTTTTGTCCGAGTTGGGGCCCTTCTATCCAGATAAGGCAGGCGATGGACTTTACAGGAACAAGTATAGCTGGAATTCAAGTGAGTGTCAGCCACAAAGTCCAGCTTCGAATGTGGGCTCATCTAGATACTCACACTCTGTGTAAATATTTTTTAACTGCTTGTTGATGTTAGCACAAAGGGAAGGTTTGCAGACGTCCAAGGGTCGCAAATTTTACGGAGATGCTGCAAAAGGAAATTGGAAACATCGTCTTGGACCAGATTTTGTGCCATTTGCTGAGGGTGGTTGCGCAGAAGCCAAGAAAACTTTACAAGATGCCTTCGACTCTAGGTTTGGGTGCCTGTTCTGTATATGCACGCCATGTTGTCAGAAGGACCCTTCCTCATCGGAAGCCAATGCTTGCTTCAGAGGATTCAAATGCTATCTGGTGAACGGATTTTTGCCAATGTCGTTTTTCACCGTTGAGATTGCATATGGTTTTCCAGCAAATCGTTGTTATTGGCCAAGTGGGACTTGGGATGTGGCTTTACGAAGGACGCTACCTTAGTGTCATTTAGGTGGACATTAAAAACTCTCTCAAGTCGGGCATAACATCCGGTGCTGGTTTAATTTGTCCACCGGGTCCTTTCAGAAAGACCGCAACCATCAATTTCCCTCCCAATGACTGGAAGGCCAGCTTCGGACGTATCGGCGCCCTTCAGAACGCACTTTTACTGCTTGACGAAGTTCACTCGAGGTCACCCAGTGTGACGCACTAACCAGTCCAACGTGCATCTTATATTGCAACTGAGCATACACGTCTTTCTGCAGTGTCCAACATGTTGTTTGTGGAGTCCCCAGCGGGTGTCGGCTTCTCATACTCCAACACCACAGAGGACTACGTCGTAGGCGATGAGCGCACAGGTCAGGACCTGGGGTTCACTTCGACTTGACCCGTTTTGAACCCACCTTCTGGCAGTTACGTTGAGAGTTTGCCTTATCACTTGAAACAAGTTTCACGAACTTCGCAACTGTTTCCTCGCCACTACAACCGAATGTTCAAGGACATGCAATTTCTTCCTGTTGATTGTGCTGGAATTCAAAAGCTTGTCTAGGCCGTTTTGCCTTCTGAGTCTTTCAGATTTTCAAGAACGCAGATAATGCACTGACGCTTTGTGACCGAACGTGTTCTCCTCACTGTGCAGCCAACGATGCCTATCAGCTGCTCGTGGGCTTCTTCAAAAAGTTCCCCCACTACGCTGCCAGCGACTTCTACATCTCTGGGGAGAGCTACGGGGGTAAGCAGTCAAATCTGCTTTTGGTTGCATTCACAGTGTTTCGTAAGCTCCATACTGGGGCCATCTCTCTGCACGGTGGAAAGATCTTCGACGATGTCGCTGAATGTTGTGGAACGGTGTTGTCACAGAAAGAAGTCTTCTGCTTCGCGGAGCACGGTGGTCTTTCTCCGGCGGACTCTCCCCTTTCGTCGAACACTCTTCGTCTTATGTTTCCTCAAGTGCTTTTCCGAAAGTCAGCTATAACTGACCAGAAGACTGCTAGACTGCGGCCCCTTTTCCTTAGATAAGTACAATCTGTATCGTTTATCCTGATGCTTGTAGATCCAACCATTTCACCATCTGTACGCACCTTTCCAGCATCGAACTGCTTGTCGGTGTCTGCAGAAAGACAGGTCCGACAACATTTGAGCATGTTTCAAACCTCATGAAGCAACACGGAGACAACAAGCACCCCACCCTGAATACTTGAAAACCCCTAAACCCCTAGAACCATAGAAACTCAGGACATTTTGCGTGCAGGCCACTATGTGCCCCAGCTAGCGGACACCATCGTCCGAAACAACCGCGAGAAGGTAGCGGACGGTCCGATCATCAACCTGAAGGGATTTCTGGTGAGGAGCCAAGCCGCTCTTCTTTCCCTGTTCTCATCCGATGGATGATGGTCCTCCATTTTTAGTGACCTTTTGGACGGCTCACATCGTTTCTTCTGATAGGTGGTTTCTGGCTTTTCGGTTGATCGAGGCTCGATACGGAAGAACCCCAGTTGGATGAATCGAGATTCAGACTCTTGGGGCGGCAGCGGCTGCAAACACATCTTCTTCGTCCTTGCTCGGCTAGATGGAGGCCGCTTCAGTTACCAAGCGCCAGCTGCATTACGGTGACACATGCGCTGTTTCGAAATTATGGCCATTGTTTCTCTGTCGGACGTCCGTCCGGTTACAGCCCGCTTGCCGAGATAGTCACCTGAGCGACTGCCTTTTACACGCTACGCCCCATCGAACGAGGTTCCTTTCGCCATCGTTGGACAGGTCGGTAACGCTTGGACTGACGCCGGCATTGACAATTACGGCGCGCTCTTCTACGACTGGACGCACGCAATCATCTCCGACGCCGCCTACTACGGAGTCGCGAATACGGTGGGTCGCAAGTGATCCTCCCTTCGCTCAACCGCTCTCAAGAGCATCAGCTGTTTCGATAGTCAGCGGCTCGATGACGCCACTGAAGACGGCAGCTGCCCTCAATAGTACTATGAATCTCGGCACAAAGAAAGCCTCTGGTGACTGCAGCCAATCGACCGAATTGCTGAAAGTCTTTTGTGCTAACGTGATGCAAACACAACTTCTGGCGATGAGTGATTCGATGCGATGCAGTTGACCAGTTTGCCAGGTGATATTTGAAATCGTGGTTCCCAGTTTTGCAGTGCTCTGACGCGCGCCGGGGTTTGCAACGTCGAGGACTGTCTGCTATAAATGGCTGCATTATTGAAGCGCTCATCTTTGCTAACCTATATTTATCACTTTTGTGCTCCTCTGCGCAGTGCGATTTCAACGAGGTCGGTCCGCTCCTGAGCATCAGCGAAAAGTGCTCGAAGTACGTGCAGCAAGCTTTCCGGGAGATGGTGGGTTTCAGGATTGCATCCAACCGTCCACTTCTCATTGTCTGGCTTGCATGGTGAAGTCAGTTCCTGGTTCGAAATGCCGGGTTCCATTTTCGACTGTTGGAAAATGTACGTCGTTGCTTGCGGCAGGTCTTTGGACGAAGCTTCCTCCGGCCAGTTCTTAAGGTTGTGGATTCGAAGAAACAATACTCGCAGGTTGTGAGAAGTGTCAGCAGATCCTAGAACCTCAGGCACCGCGAGAGCTCATTTGCAATGACGAAACCATTGCTACACACAAATGCAGGGCCCCATTAACATCTACGACATCTATGCTGACGTGTGCACATACGGGAAGGCGGCACGTGACGAGACCCGCCACTTCGCGAAGCAGGTGAGGCCGGCTGACGTCACAACGGCACGATGTTTGTTGCTACTCGCGAAACCTGGTTGCGATGAGGGTCTCTCCTTTTATCCGTGGAGAAGCTTTTTGCAAGCCACCTTTTGCAAAGGGTGGATTCAATATCCTTTCTCGGTTTGGGTTTGAGAAGTAGAGACGGAAACACTTGCGAGATTGTGAAGGTATCAAAGCTCCCAGATGGACGTTTCTGCAGAGCTATCACTGCGCAGGTCACTTGCTTCCCCAGCTCGTAGTCAAAAATGGAGAACCTACCGGTTTCCAATCTTTTCTGCACTGACACGTGGCCGAACGCCCTTTTGCCAGTTGGCGCGCACCGGGACGCCCCTGGCGGCGCGGCACCTCCTCACGGCCCCTCCCGAATACGACCCGTGCATCGATGACGAGGTGGGCTGGATGTTTTCCGCTGTTCCGCTGTTCCGTTGCTGTGACGTACTTTGGAAGACTCTTGAAGAGCCATCAAAAGTTTTTATCTCATAAAAGAAGGAGCGCGAGCTTGTTGATCAGCCATCAGAGCGCGTTGTCCGATGTTTGCGGTTGACTGATTTTGAGCTCAAAATGATTGAGAAAAGTTTTCTGGCCTGAAGTGCGACTGTAAGATGCGGTTGCATTTGGTGTTCGTACTGTCTCTTGTTTCCGTTCTGGAAGACTCAGAACGGTGTCTTTCCATCATTTATTCCTGTTTCTATTATGTCGACTGGGTCATGCCAATCTTAGCATTGTTCGAACACTTGCCCCTTCGAAGCTCAGAGAACACGGCTGAACTAAGTAATCCTGGGCCGTCCGATCAGCAAAAGTGCATCATCAAACGGCTCGAGAACGGGCACGACACGCCAGCTTTCAAAAGTTGATGACAAGCTCCATATATATGGCTCTGGTTTACGCATTCTTGTTCTCCAACATGGCGTCAGGTTTTCGGCGACTAATCGCACTGCGCATTGCTTCTGGCCGTGCAGGTCGCCATCTACCTGAACCGGCCAGAGGTGCAGAAGGCGATCCATGCGAACGTCACACACCTGCCGTACGCTTGGACGGGTTGCACGTAAGGCTCCGGACGTCCGAATGGTTTCTTTTGCGTCTTTAAAAGGTGCCCAAAAAGCCCGTTTCACAGCGTCGTCACGTGGGGCTACGTACTTTTCAGGACGTTAACATGGTTCTCTTGCCTTCAAGAGGTGTCCGAACGCCATCCGAATTGTCAATCATACGTCGTACTTGTCCGGACGTCCGGATTAGATTTTCAGCACGTCAGAAGAAGTAGTAGCATATCCAGCGACCTTTGTGGATAGCTTTGTGACTTTCCGGTCGTCCAAAACCTTTCTACATCGTGGCTTTCAGAGGACGTTTGGAGGGCACTTTCCCTTCCTGAACCTCTCTTGGGCTCATTGCACATCCCAAAGTCCGGTCCCTTCGACAAACTGTACCGGTTCTAAGGTGAACTGTGAAGACATCGATATGCCGGGGGCTACATATTGGGCATTGTATCAAAGTTCGGTTGTCGGTTCCCGAGACCGCCAAGTTGGTTCCGGCACAGATGCTGACTTTCCCTGGTTGACCCTTCCGCAGGGAAGCGATTGAGTATTCGCGGAAGGATCTGCTGACCAGCGTGCTACCGGTGTACCGACGCCTGCTAAAGGACGGCCTGCGCATGCTCATTTTCAGGTAATCAACGACTCTACTTTCTGGCTGTTCCTTTTTGTGAGTTAGGACGTTTCCGAGATTTACCCCGCTTTGCTTGTCAGATGTCGCATGCTCATATCCAGGTAGCCAACGACTCTACTTTCTGGCTGTTCTGTGAGTTAGGAAGTTTCTTCCTCACTCCGCTTTGCTGTCGAATGCTTATTGTCAGATAGCCAATGACTCTTATCTTCTGGCTGCCCTATTTCTGTGAGTTAGAACGCTTTCAGGTTATTTTTCCTCTCACTCCCGTTTTGCTCGTCAGTTATTGCATGCTCATTGTCAGGTAACCAACGACTCTACTTTCTGGCTTCTACTTTCCTGTGAGTTCGGACGTTTCTGATTAAACTCCCCCTCACTCCGCTTTGCTTGTCACCTCTCGCATGCTCACTGTCAGGTAACCAACGACTCTGTTTCTGGCTGTTGTTCTTTTGTGTATCAGGACGTTTCTGGATATACTTTCCTTAAGTCCGCTTCGCTCATCGATACTGCTTTCAAAACTAGAGAGTGGCTGGTCCGAGTGTCGGATTGGCGCTTGCAGAGCGTAGCCCAACTCTTTCGGAAACTGCGGGTGAGAGAAGACTATAAACGGCTGTCCTGTCCGCGGAAGGGCTGAGGTGCCAGATTCAGGTCGTCTCGTTTGCCTTAAATAACACCTCACAGCAGCTCGGCTGACGTCACCTGTGCAGTGGTGACGTCGACGCCATCGTCCCAGTGACCGGCACCCGGGCCTGGATCGGCAAGCTGCTGCTCGAGGAGGTGGAGCCGTGGCGACCATGGGTGCTGGACTCCCAGGTAAATGGTCGCCCTCTCATGTCCGCGCCTTTTTGCGTCAGCTGCTTTGGCTAGACTGAGCCGAAAGGTAGTCTGGACGAGTTCGCGCTACCTAGTTGTTGCACCGAAAGTGGTGGGAGGAACGTCGCTTCCTTGACGCGAGATCCCGGGTATCCAATCATTTATGATGCGTATCAGAGTTTGTCCCGCCTTTTGAAACTCAAATTGCGAACAATGGCCGAAGCTGACCTTCGAAGCAAATGGGTAAGGACTTCGGGCCTTGAACGATTTGTAAAGATCGTGATTTGAAGCCGGTTTGTTGAAAGGCAGGCCACGCGTAGAGCAGCTTCAAGAAAGAACATGCAACAATCAAAGAGATTCAGTCACAAATGTGCTTGCCCGAAGATGCTTTTCTTGACGGCGACTTGAAATCTGTTGTCATTTTGTGTGAGGCGTCATGAGACTAGTGTTTGTGGATTGCTCCTCGACTTTAGCTTTTGTAAGTGGGTGACTTTACATCAACACACTCCAATCGGCCTCCTGTCTTGTAGTCAATCCAGCTATTGCGGACTGTTCCGGACTGTACTGCACTCAAGCCAACAGGGGATCCTAAATGCGAATTGGAAAGAACGTGGACTCCACAACGCTTTTACTTGACGCTTGCCCCCGTTCGTTACTGACTTGGTCGTGAGGCTGCGCTTTCCAGGTTGGGGGTTACGTCACCAAGTACAAGGGGCTGACGTTTTCGACGGTCCGGGACGCGGGGCACATGGTCCCCTACACGCAGCCCGCGCGCGCGCTGCACCTCTTCAAAACGTTCATCCAAGACGGGCAGCTCTAAACCCGATCACTAACCCGACCAAGGTTTCGAACATTTGCCGACGTCGCGGCTTTCCGCTTGGTGACTTTCTTATCCTTAACTCAGATTTTTAGCGGTTCTAGAGGTTCGTGTCAGTAGAAAGCTAGGCTTGCAATGCGTGCACAGGTGCTCGATGTTGGACTATTCGCGTCTCCGCAACTCGTCCTTGCACGCTTTGTCCGATGTTGAGATTTGGTTCCATTGAGCGGACACTATCACACGCAGCGAATTTATCGGGTGCAAATCTTCCGCTTTACCGGAAGTTGAAAAGTACATCCGCAATGACGGCAGAAGCGACACAGAACCACCGAGTAGCAGCTGTTTGTTGCCAAAACAATACATCGTCGGATGACCTTGTGGCGATCGCGTCTTGGCGACCAAGTTTGCATATTTCTTTGTTGATGTTTTGCGAGATCACTGAACTAGCTTAAGGCTTATGTGCTCACATTTTCAACCACCAAAGCTAGGCTTCTATGTATGAGCGACGTCCATGTTTCCGACGGTCGGTTCGGCCAATTTATGTTTGTGCACATGCACTACATGGGTAGTGCGCACACCAGGACCGTACGTCCGTCCAGCATGCACAATAGCGGGGGCACTATATACAATGATGAGCTCCGGCGCCATATACATGTACAATGCCAAATCAGTACGCCAGGCTCATTATCATATAGTGCATCATGCATGACCGTCATGTAAATCTTCTCCTCGGATGAAATTAGAGTCGGAATTGTGGTTCGAAAATTGTGGTTCTCTGAATGCGAATTAAAGCCAACTGAGTGTGCTCACACTGAGCCGTTATTCATGCAGTGTGACTTTGCAGTTGGACATTCACATGCGCGTGTGAATGCCGCCCCTAGCTCTGCGCCAACTGCAGAGCTCTGGCTTTGCAATCAGTGGATCACTCAGCACTAGCATGACGCTCGCTAAGAGCTCGGCGCTTCTTTAAGAAGCAACCTATTATGTGCAAGCGCGGCGGCGCCTTCCGTACGAAGTAGCTTGATTTGTGTGAAATACTTATATGCAGTTTGCTCGTATCAATGCTCGTGTGATCTGCGCATTGTTCCATTGCCATGCTGATGCTCAGCATGTTAGCAGCCTCAGGGAATCATACCTCTAATAAAGGTCACTCATGCTAGGCCTGCATATACTGTACGAGATATGGTATGTCCATGAATTGCTCATGGAAGGCATCCTATCTATACAAGTTTGCAGACAGACTGAGATGTCATTGATTGGTCGGCATAATCATCAATCATACAAGACAGCGGCGTCAGCACATGCAACCGAGAACAAAGTTATCCAAAAGTAGTTGCCAACGAACTACGCAATTAGCACAGCGTCCCAAAGACGTGACCCGGAAGGGACGTTAACCAGTCGACCTAGCTAGAAAAACCTGATCCGTGCTAAACTACAACATTGACTCGGCAATAAGCTCGACGATGTTCCTCCCCCTCGTCTCCTTTGACCTTCACTTGGATTCTTGTTTGTGTAAGGGCGCACCCCAAAACCATCTATGTATACCAGCAAGGTCTTTATGATTGTTTCTAAACCTCTTCCAAACTCCCACACACAACGAGAAAAAACCTACGGTTTTCCCGTCTCCAGCCCCCCAAAGTCAAGAGACCTCGGCTTAAGCGTTGCCCTAAGTAATCTCTTGAACTCTAACCTGACGTTAGCGTATCTCTGCGCAGCTTTTCGCGTCTACCTGCCCGTCCAGAAGCAACCGTAAGAGTGCGCATGCACCGCGTTAGTCCAAAATTCCTACGCTCCAGAAGCGTGCTGCTAAGACAATACCATTGCGGTACGCTGCGGGTTAATCCCGCGCGGTCTACCCCCTTCTAGGCTCTGCTGCGGGGGGTTCGTTATCGGCGGCAGCCGCCACCACTCCACGCCCGCAGACCTGGCCTCTTCTTTCCAACTGCGTCTCGCCCCTCTCGCCTCATTATGTAACAACGGCGCCTGGTAAGCCGACGACTCCTTCACAATCGCCTGGCTACTGACCCCATCTTTCAGCACCCCCCCGGGAGTGCCTATCGTGCATCTCCGCGCGTTCTGCCCCCCTTCGTGCATGTGCGCAAGATCGTACTCGAACCGCGCCCTCCCTTCCGTCCGGTCCGCAAACAGCGGGTGCTCGCGCGGCCGCAAACCCGCCTTCCTCCGCCTATCATCGACTGCCATCTGGCCGGACGTGGACGGCTCGTTCCAGTCGTCCCCGCCGTCGGAGTAGTACGCCGCGCCCCGCTGAAACGCCCGCGGGACGCTGTTCACGTCGCCGGAAACAGGGCCTCCGAGGCTGTGCCTGGCACTGGGTGGGGCGCTGGCGGACACGGGGGCCTTGTTCACGGGCGCGCGAGCGAGCGGCGCGCTTCCGGCGGCCGTCGAGTGGTGCGCTCTCCGGACGAAGTGGCCCGTCCGGGCAGGAAGATCGCGGGCGCCCTCCGATACGGAGGACACCGCTCTAACGATGGGATGGTGGGAAGTTGTCGTGTCGCTGCAAACCAAGAGGCGATGAATTTCAGCATATAGTGTAATTCGCGACCTAAAAACCAATTTGAACACTCTTCCTTATGAAAAAGAAGTGACTCAACACGGGTCGTATCGATACAAACAGGATTAGACGTGACGTTGACCAATCCAAAAGCGAAGTAACAGCAAGCAAACCATGCAAAGGTTTGCATGAAGGTCGAGCTGTGACAGGGGCATCATTTCGCAAGCGAAGTCGAGAAAAATGCGTAACGAATCCCCGCACACTCGCTCAACCAGCGTAGAAGGCAAACGAGAAAGAACATTTTGAAGAGAAACAGCCTGCGGACCTTGGCAACGAAGGAAGTGACCAGCCGGCAATGCGCATCACAGAACCTTTGCGTACCTTCCCAGCCCCGCCCCATAGCGTATCCTCTCCGTCTCCTCCCCCTGCGACACGGCACCCTCCGCCAGACCTCCCTTGCTCGCTCTCGGCGGTCTCTCCAACACACTGCTCCCCCGGCGCTCGCTTGGCTGGGCCGCCGGCAGCCCTTGCGCCAGCGCGCACTCCCCTTCACTATGGTGCCGCCGGTTTTGCAGCAGAAACTCCCCGGAGGCCTCTTTCAGACTCCGCCCCCTGGGTCTAACTTGCGCGTACTCGCCAGCGCTCGTCGCGCCCCCAAACGACCCGTCCCTGGTTGCTCGCTCTCTCCGCACGGTCGCCGCCCCTCGCTCGATCCTCCGAGCCGTCTCCTCGCGCACCGCCTGCGACACCGCAATGTCGAAATGCTTGCTGCTCATACTGCTGCTCGACCCCGACCCCCCATGAACGGTCTCACTGCTCGACGCGCTCCGCGCCTCCGTCGAACTCCCCCCCCCGGATGACCCGTTGCTATCTCTCCCCTGGGAAGATCCGTTCCGGCCCTCGGCCTCCCCTTCCTCGGGGCTGGTCGAGCGGCCGTCGCTGGCAGGGGGATCCCCCGACCCCTCCGAGCGGCTTCCCGGAGGTGTCGCGTCCGCAGCTGCGTAAGGTCTTGACATCCGGACACGTGAGGGTTGGCCGTTCAGGTCATGGGGAGGGGTTGGTTCTCTGGAGGGGGCATTGGCGGGATTCACGGCCCTCCGCGACCGAACAGTGACCGCGGGTCGTAGGGACTTTGGCGGGGGCCCGATGGGCGGTGAGGGGCTCTTGTACTGGACCGTGACGCATTCAGGGGTCAGGAGTAAGGCGCTGTCGCTGACAGGCTGCCTGAGTGGCTTGTGGGGGCTGACAGTGTCCGGTCGCAACGGCAGGGGGGCGGGGCGCATCCCCGCCTTCCCGACATTTTCCAAAGCTCGACCCGCTGGCTCGTACGCCTTCCATGAAGAAGCAGCCTGGGGAGGTCGCCGATACACCGAGAACGCACTGGGGGCCTTTCCTTCGGACACATAGGCCGCGAAAGGCATTGGGCGGGCGCTGGACGTCCGACCGCCGGAGCTCCCGAAGTCAGCGTCCGAAACGGGCCAGATGCCGAACACCTGGTGACCGTCCGAAACGGACCCGCGGTGGTGCGTCCGAGTAGCACTGGGGAAGACTGCAGAGCTGCACCCAATCACCTCGTACCCTTCTTCGTTGAGCTCGGGGGACGAACTAGACGCGTCCACGTGGAACACGTGGACCACTTCCTTGTCTTCGGCCTCGTCGTCACCAAGAATCATGTCGCGGTCGAGCGCCTCGATCAGGCTCGCCTGCTGGGGGCTCCGCGGCGAGCGCCGCGCGCGGTGCGCCGCCGTGACTTCCCGCCGCTTCACCCGCGCCTCGCGCATCTCCCGCACGCCCCGTGGGTTGCCCAGCCCCTCGCCGTAATAGTCCATCCCCGTGTTCTCCCAATTCGAGGACCCCTTGGAGTCGACGTTCCACCCGGGCTCGCCGGGCCCATACTGATCTTCCAACGACGATCCGCTCCGCGAGAGGTCTTCGCCCGAGGTCACATGGTAGCACGTCGGAGCGGACTCGGCCTTGTACATGGGCGGCCGGTGCAAGAGACTCCAGCCCGGGGGACCCTTCCGGTTGGGCGGCCCTGGCCCCTCTTCGTACGGCTCTTTTCGATCGTACCGCATATTTGGGGGGCAGAACGGCACTGCCCGGATCGGGATTGGGCGATACAGCGGCGACGCCCTCGTGGGTGGAGGGTCGGAGAGGACGCTCGGCCGTCCAGAAGGCGGCCGCGGCTCCGGTGGGGGGCTTGGGGACGACCCGCCAACGTCCCCGCTTTGGGGAGGCCACTCCGCAAACCGGGGGGTGGCCGGGAAGGGTGCGGGACCCCCCCGCGTGTAAAGATCAGGGGCCTGAGGAGGTGTCATTTCCGCGGGGTAGCGCCCGCGTGCAGGAGAGCAATCGGAGGAGGTGCTGGTCTCGGTCTCTGTGCCGGACTCCCGGAGCTCGGGAGAGCAGACGAGGTGCAGGCGGCGCGCCTGATCACGGAGACTGTGGTAAAGGACCACGGGGTTGAAGGCGCGGCCGGCCCCGCGGCGGTGCTGGGGGGGGGCGGCGGTGGCGTGCGCAGTGATGAAGGCCTTGGCACGGGCCCTGGAGAAAGGGGGTTCACGGTGAGACACTGGCAGACCTTCTGAACCTGACACAAGCGACAGAGCATGGCTGTCAAGATGAGACTGCTGCCTCCGTGGATTTGGAGATATGCAGTGGGGATGAAAGAAGCGACGTAGACCATGATGGCAAAAGGGCTGTGAAAGCGGAATGAGTAGATTCTGTCACAAGCATCATGGTTCACCAAGTGTCGGCAAAGCAATCAACCTTTCCTAGGTCCACCACAACTCGAGCTACAGTTGTCGCGTACGAAACAAACCGCGCCACCCGAATTGTGAGCATGCTGCGCCAAGTGAGTCTCTGGTGATGACGAGTCGGGAGGTTCGTAAGGACTTCTTACCTCAAGAAAGGCAGCTCCAAAAGCTCTGAGGCGAGGGGCCGATGCTGCGGGTCGAGCGTGAGCATGCACGCGACGACGTTCCGAATCTCGGCACTATAGCTGGAGGCAAGAAGGTTTCGAAACAGTCAGCAACAGCGCAGTTAAGGATAGTCGTCCTGTTTGAAGCCGCCAGAAAACCATAACATTCCAAAAACGTAATCCGAGGACTTGGAGGAGTCAAATAAGCGGCCGTTCAGCTGGTTGGTAATTGCAAGCTTATTTCTGTTTGATTGGGCACGGAGTATACGTTTTCAATTAGCAGCAGAGGAACAAATATGAAGCAAACCTCCATCTTTCCACTTTTCTCCCCTTGGACCACAGCTTGTATCCTCAAGAAGAGCTTGCAGAGACGATTCTAAGGAGCAGACATCTGATGTCGTTGAGGATGAGACATCAACAATTGCAGACCACATCTTTTCAAGTGATGGATATGGAAGAACGACCTATGGACGGAAGCCCAAGAAGTCGACGATAGGTTTCTACCTTGATTGGATTGGGGGGTAGAGGCCCCTCGTGACCTCTGCCGCAAGGTCCGGAAAGTTTTTCGCTTTGAAGGGTTGCCGTAGGCAGAGCAACTCGTAGAGAACGCACCCAAGAGCCCAGATATCTGTCAACCACAAGAAGAGTGAGTTAGTAGGTTAGACAGCCCTGCAAAACTCAAAAAAACTTGCCAATTCAAAGCAAATGTGTCCCCCCAAAAACCGTGCGCAATCATGAAGTCGGCAAACATGTTGTCTGCTGTGAACATAGGAGCGGCCAACAGGAAGGCCTGCGAGCATTCCCAACCTGTGCAATCAAACGCTGTGCCTTTGCAATCTGGTAGAAAGGCTTCAATGGCTTTTAATCAAGATACCAAATGCATGCACCTCACTGGAAGGTGTAGATGCATACATAGCTAAGCAGAATGACTTACCAGTTTTGTAATTGTAAGGTCTCCCCTTGAACAACTCGGGGGACATGTAGTATGGCGTCCCGACGAACGTTGAGGCTAGAGCGTCAGATGAGTCCAACACACGAGCTATGCCAAAGTCCTGTGACATAAACAAAAGAACATTAGGAAGGCCTCACGGCAGATAGGTAAGGCAGCTGAGGATGTTTCCGCAGAAACAAGCACCTAAAGCAAATGGATTTGAGGGCCAGGAAGTGTCAGGCATATAGCAACAACAGGTTCTTGTCGCATGCAAGGGTCACGCTGGTTGCAATGAAGGACCTTGCTTGCATGCAAGACGACCTCACCCCCAATTGTGCAGTGATGATCTGAGGCCCCCCACTGAGAGGTTGATGCAAGAAGATGTTCTCAGACTGCGATACGGAGGAGGCGCAAAAGGTGAGATGAGCGAGGAGTCAAGAGGGGCAAGGGCACACGAATGGGCGGAATAAAGGTACCTCAAGAGCCAAGAAACTTTCGTAATAGGTATCAAACCTGCTCTTTAGCTAACAATGGCATAAGCAAAAAGGAGAAACAGAGTTGTCAGAAGCAGCCCTCTGGCCACGTTTAACCTCATATTGGGACTGAGGGGTTCAGAAGAAGCTGGGCATGACCTTGAGGTGACGAAATCAGAACAATCAGACCCAATAGTTGGGGGAAGGGGGTTAAATTCGTACCTTGATGTCTCGATGCAGAATCCTCTGCTTATGCAAGTACTCCAGCGCAAGAAGAGTGTGCACCAGCCAATCAGTGACAAGGTCCTCTGGAAAGCTGCAAGCACAACAACAGTCCAGTCAGCACAGGCCTCTTTTTTAGGAGGGAGCCTTTGAACATCCCCACTCTGTGTGGGGTTCAGCGATGCACGAGACCAACGCGGAAATCTGTGAAACCCAAGACTGAACGGTGGGGCATGCATTGTACAAATAATCCTGAAGGGCGGGGGGGAGGGGGGTGGGGTCCTAGTAGAAAAAATAAAGGGGAAATTGTGTTGCATGAACAACCAAGGGGGGGTGGCTTTGGAAACGCTAATCTCCTTCAGCCAGCACAAGGGGCTACCTCTGAAGATAACTCAGCTCTTTGCAAAACTGTCTCGATATACACCAATGGACAATTCAGAACCAGCAGGGGGGTCCTTGCAAAGGTCTTCGTAGGGAATCAATCTGGTCGGGGTTTAACTTCATCCAAGCTCAAAATATCTCCAGATCCTAGACCAGCCCTGCCCGAAATCACACAGAAGTATGGAAAAGCGATAAACCTCACCTTTGTCCCAACTCTGCCTGCTGCTTGATCCGCGTGCACAAGTCGCCGCCCTTGCAATGCTCCATGACTGGGGAGAAACGAGCAAGTCAGGGAATGTCATAAGGCCCAGGGCCGAAACATGCACAGACAGGTCTAAACTTGCACATCGCAACGGGGGTGAGAGGACAAAGAGCAGCTGAAACCCCCTCCAAAGAGTGCATCTGAGGATTCAGGCCAGGGGGGCTTACCAATACACAGAGTCTGCTGCTCATGCACGAAGCTCTCCTGCAGGAAATAAGGAGAAGCTAGGGGGTCAGATGGATATCATAGATGAAGGACCAAAGATGCTGACATAGGTTGCGGGTCAATGTTCTGCGTAAACAGCTCCTAAACCCCTGCAAAACTCTGACCTACGTTCAGCTATGAAATCCCAGCAAGAAGGCGGTCTAGGGACAACATCTCCGAGTTGGCTCTCAGCAGCAGTTGACCTAGCAACAGCTTCCAGTGTCGAGCAGCGTGTCTCAGAAGCGCAACAGCTGCTCAAGAATCAGAGATCTCTGTGAGGTTGAGTCTGAATGTTGTGAGCCACAACTCTGAGTCTGCGCCTGTCCCTCCAGCCAGCTTGGTGTAATGCTTCTATTTTAGCAGGTTATGCATGACATGGTGATAGCTGAGAGGGGGCCTTCCACTCTTCCAACGCTGCTCAACCACATTATGCTGGCCATAGTTCGCTAAGAAGACTACATGATCGTGAAGTCTAGCTTTGCAATGGGGTCTGCTTCCTCACATCCTGCCGATTCAAGGGGTATCTGCTGCTCAGTCCACATTCTCAAGGGTTTCCAATTCTCTTGCTCTCATGACACTCCCCGCTTTGCAGAGCTCGGCTGCCTACGCTTTCAGAAGCCAAAGCCCTTCCTTGCTGTGCTAGAAGCTTCAGTGATCCCGCTCCAGACTAAAGGCTAAACTGCCCGCCGGCTTGCTAAAGAGTCTGCTCTAAAAGCTAACTCTTGTGGAGCAAACTGCACGGCTGACTGGCAAATGCAACAGTTTCCCGGAGGCAATGCCCGAGTCTGTCTTCATTGCAACAGTCTGTTCAGCTCTTTTCAAACCTCCACTTCCTTGACTCTGTGCTACAAAGAGGGCTCGCATTGCCTGCCTTACCTACTTGCCAACAAAACACTGAATTGTTGGGGGAAGCATCAGCCACAAAAGGAGGCCAGTGGTCGCTTCTTATGACCCCAGCTCTCCTTAAAACAGCTACAAGCTTTGCTTACTACATGAACTAGCAAAGGCATGCCAGCGAGTGAGTTCTACAGGGCCTGCCGTGAACACAGCCAAACACATCACTTCACATCAGCATTTGCACCCTCAAGCTTGAACAGAACCAAAAAGTTTGTGTCGAACCCTAAAGCTGATGGCCCACCTTGCATGAAACAACACAAGGATGGTGCAGATACTGCATCGTAGAGCCCTCTCTGATGGCATCCTCATACTGCTGAGGTTGGGGGAACTTGGAAGGCAGCGAAACCATCTTCATGACCCACTCCTTCTTCCTGCTCCCCGCCCCTGGGCCATCTTCCGGTTTCTCCCTCACCAAAAAGATCCGCCCTTGAGCACCCTCTCCCATTCTCCTCAAAATCTGATATCCATCCAGCTCGTTGTCCATCTCTCCCTGCTGGACCTGCTCTTCCATTCTTTGACACAAAGTGCCCTCGCTAAACTATATCATACGTCTTCCTCGCCTGTAATGCAGCCCTCTTGCATCTTCCCACGCCTTTGGGCCAACAGTCCTGCGCAAGCCCCTACTCTTGGTGGTAAACCTGCTCCCTAGAGCCCAGAAAAGTTCCTGCCCTTCGCAACATTTCTGCGAACAGTCGCCAACCCTCGGAGATATTTTCGTCGCAATTATCTTCGCGACGACGCCATGAAACCAGCTTTCCCGAATCACGCCACGGCGGTCTCCTGAGTCACCCCTGTGCGCTCGAAAAGTTGAAACCCCCTCCTGACTAGGACGGCAACAGCACGGCAAAAGCGGTTGTCATTTCATGTGCGTCTTCATTCCATCAGATTTTTCTGACCCGCTATGAGAAACTACCCTTGCCAGAAGTAGGGTATACGAGGCTGGACTTTTATCGTAACCGCTCAAAGTATTCCCCGGTTCAGGTTACTACCGGGCTACTTTACCTTGGTTTCTGAGCCCAAACAAGCCCGGATCTTCTGCGACGACAGGCGGTTTTGAGGATAAGCACGTCAAATCCCCTGAACGTCCTGCACGTGATCCCGAGATACTCTATAATTGGGTTCCTACGGTCGGCTTGCCTACGCGAGATATCGAGCCAACCGTATCTGCAGATATTTGAATTTCCACAACTTCGAGGAGTCGACACGGTGCTCGGAGGTTGCGTCAGATATTTCTAGCTAGGAGTACAGTTGGAGCAGCTCGTGGGTCCAGAAATCTCAGGCCGGTTTGCCAGATTTGATTGGATCGTGACGCACACCACCGTCACCGAGCCTGCGGCCGCGGGCCCTTTCCAAGCCTTCTAAGTTAATGAACGATGCAGATCCATCGGCGCGGCTGCTCACCCTTTATCGACGGCAACGATGATCCTAGCCACCAGTCGGTATGTTATATTAGTTTAGCACCGTCCGGTCTGCATGGACTGATTCCAAGTTCGGACGGTAGACCCCAGATGATTAGTACCTACCGGTAACCGCACTAATTATCTGGGGTCTACGAGTCACGACACGGTGTACCTAACAGCAACCGGTAGATGTCCCCCCGGGGGAACGGGCAGCGGTGCGTACGCCGCTCACTTGGACTTGAGCTTTAGTGAGACACGCGTCCGCATATACCACCCAGGGCGACGCCCGGATAAGAACACTGAGGTCAGTGCAGCCTGGGCTTTAATTTTGAGTCCACCATTCGGAGTGTCCCTCGATGGGACACCCTGAATCCGGCATTCTGATTGGCCGAACCCACGTCAGCAGGTCGGGCGGACTCAGTAACGCAAGACCCAAAAGTGATGTCGCGACCGCCGGAGTCTATAGGATGCTCACGACTCAAATTCGACCGGCCGGTATACTAAAGGTATAATTTTCTCGCCGGAAACGGCGGATTTCGGTGTTTGACAGCTTATGATTTTGACTTGACGGGATAATATGAACTTCAGTGCGCTACTCCGAGCCTCGGAGTGCACTGTGTGCGGCTCCTTATAGTATCAGGCAGTCGCGTATGTGCTAATTTTCAGGACCAGCCTACCTAGCTAGCTAATACTCCTGCAGTACTGATTCAGTCTGAGCCGCAGACTCGGCGTTACAGTCGCGCCGTTGCGGTTAGTACCGACTAGGGTACCAAGGCTTCACAATGCGGACCGGTACCCGCCGATGCAACCAATCAGAGCGCTCCATTCGATGGGACACTTTCGAGGGACACTCGGTCCGACGCCGTGGTGGACTCAAAATTTAGGCCTGGTTCTGGAGTTTAGTGTCCTTATGGCGGCGGCGGCGGCGGCCCCGGGTGACATCTGAATTGCGTCTAGACTCCAGAGTCCAGGTCCTGAAGCTCCGAGCATTGAAAGGCCGCGAGCAAGCTCGAATACCCGTAGGATATCCCAGGTATGTTCTCTTTCGACACTCGTTCTAGATCCACCGATGCCAAGGATTGACCGATCCTATGTCCCATGTGGCTTTGGCGTGTCGAATCAATTCAATGTAGACATAGTAGTGACCAAAACAAGCCTCGATCCAGCGCTGGTAAGCCCAATGACATGTGGTTCGTTTAGGCTTGAGATATTGCAATCATCTTCATGTAAACGAATGTATGAAGAGGCAAATACTAAGCATTATACGGTATCAAGCTACAGTTGGTCAATGGTATATGACGAGGGTCACCAACATTGGAAGACTGACTTGAAAGTAGACACATTTCATGCAGGCAGGTAGACGAAGTTCTATTTTACTATACCCGGATAAAATATGAGTTTCGAGCGCGATCACAAAATCTCTGAACCGAAGTGGGTTGTCAATAAGCTTTCGCAAACCATAAACCTCTTGATTGGTGCCTACCAGCCACGAGACTCCATAAGAAAGCCGGGCATTGCAGTTTACAGCAACTGAACACTGTCATGGTACAACTTCACTTGCCAAAAGGGCCATGAAACTTTCAACAAGCATGAGAATGACTAAGAAAAAATGCCTTTGACTGCAACTTAGGTAACGAGAACAAGGCCGTCTAGCACTCTTACTTGCACGTCCATGCAAGCCTCTCTCAAAACTCGCTGATAAAACTAGCTAGTAACAGAACTCCATTGCTTGTGTCACTGCAGTTCGTTTGCCCACTTTAAGTAGGCTCTCTCTCCTCCTCCACCGCTCGTCCACTGCATAAAGCATAGGAGCAAATATCGTAAGATAACTTGGGTGTGTAGCAAAGGAAACATGCGCACACGGAGTCTTGATCAAGAAGAAAGCGGGCGAAAGGAGCCTCTTCTCGAACTTATGCTTGCCCTAGGAAAATACCCAAGAGACTAACCTTCACTGCACTATGCCGCAGCTTCTCTGAAGCACAGCAGCTATCCTGGTCGCTTTCTGCAGCAGAAACGGGATAGCCAAATCTGTCAGGCCTGTGGTCTGAACAGGGACAAAAAACATCCGAAGCAGATGCTGACGGCCGTATTGCTTGAGCGCATGCTAGAGTGCAACATAAAAACAATCCCAAGAGAGTTGCGAACATCGGTGCCTTCCAGTCAACATCCACAGCAGACGAACCGGGATACTACCGCACATCTCACCAGTTTGTTCCAAGCGACAGGGCTCACGACAGCTGCTTCCCGCCAAACCGTCTCTGTATGGCTGGCGTCAGAATCGAAACCACCCCCGCTGCTGCCACCGCGCATCCTAGCTGTACACCTAGACTCCTCGACTGACACCGACTCCCCTCCGCTCAATCGCAACTGCACCAGACCCTTCCTACTCTCAGCGTGATTGTCAAGGGCGCTCCCTCTCGATTCACGGCTACACACCCAAAACCCTCCAGACCCTGCGGCGGCGGTGGCAGCAGCGGGGTGCGGGGGGAATCTTGGCGGCAGCGTGCGTGGCGAGAGGGGAGAAGGGAGAGATGGCCAATCTCAATCCGAGTCCTCGTAGAGGCCGTCGTCATCCTCGGGCTCCTCGAACGCGCCCAGGTCCAGCTGGTAGCGGAGCAGACCTGCACACGAGAAGAGGTTTGGAACCATAAAACTATTATTCGCAACCAGAGGTTGCGGAGCAGACCTGCACACAAGAAATCAGTTCGAAACCATCACCGCAACCAGAGTCTGCGGAGCAAACCCGCACACAGGAACACAGTCCGAAACCTTTTGAGGTTCTTTCTTGACAAGGTGGGAGCCGAAGCATATGCTTTCCGGCAGGGTTGATTCCTCATCAGCTCAATTTCTGCAAGAGTCTAATGTTACCATAATTGTAGACCGGTGAACTTTCGACATCGGTTGGAGCATCCTTACACGTTCTTTTCGATATTCTGCAACGGCGAACGAGCGAGAGGCACAGGTCTGAGCTGCTTAGAGAGAATTCAGCATGTATACATTCCTGGAAAAAGGGGTCGAACCCGAAAGTGACCATCACGGGCCAATTGAAGGAGCGAGGACACGTTCGACAAAACTTCAACCGTGCTTCGAACCGGTGGTCTGGTGCACGAAAGCATCCAGAGGGTGGCATCCAAATCCAACCAAAAGCACAGCCCAAACAGAACACGGCCTCGCTCATATGCTAGAATCTCAACAGAGTCCTGGCGCTTTTGGACACCCCAGAGCAACTTCAGCAGTAGGCGACCATCAAACAGAAAACAGGCCCCTCACCGCCGATGCCTCCGAAGCCCCTGCAGAACTGCGACCCCTCCTGCGACTTGTTGGTGACGAACTCGAGCGTGCAGCCGAACTTGGTGTACTCCTCGGCGAGCCACTCCAGGAGCGACTTCTGCTCAACGACCTCTAGGTCCGTGTTCGTCTCCGCATCCACAAAGTGCGACCGGTCCTTCTCCTGCTCCTTGGTCAGGATCTTCACCATCGTCTCTGCAAAAAGGGAAGGAACACATCAATATGCGTCCCAGCGATAGCTTGACTGCTCCTTGAGCTAAATCTTTACCGTTGTTATGTGCAAGAGGGGAAGGGATGCGACTAACTTGATAATGTTTCCACCATGTCGTGATTTCGGGACGCTGTCTCTGCAATACTGCGAGGAGATTTCTGCTAACGAAAGGGTAAGTGATCGTCTCAAGGCCGTCCTTCCCTTCTACCTTGAAACCTTGACAACAGTCTGTACAGCCAAGACAAAACGCACAACCACCATCATGCAAGAAGTCCTCGGATGAAGCCAATAGGCTGCTCAAGAACATAATCAGCGCAACCGTCTACCCGGAGCATGTACTCCAGAACTGACTTCTTCCGAACATAGAAGGGTGACTTGAGTTCCTCTAATCTCCAGTTTCGAAATGCTTGGGCACATTCTAGACCAAAACTTGAAAGAGTATATGCAGTAGCGCTCACCTCCGGAAGTGGGATTCTTGAGCGTGTAATGGTTGATGTCCAGGTTCTCCCAGACGAGCAGCGTCTCCACGGCCCCCGCATCTAGCGCCTTGAGCGTGTCGTCGACGCCATACACGTACTTGCCCGTGTTCTGTGCAATCTCCTCGAAGTACTTGCCGATCAGGCGCTTCTCCTGGATGAACTTGACGTTCTTCAGGATGTCGGCAGAGAGCTCGATTGCCTGGAGGAAGGAAACGAGAGTGAGAGATGAATACAAAGAGGCACACCGAGCATCGAGTCACACAGCAATGAGGGGGGGCAACGCCGATCAACCTGGGTCAGTAGCTGAAAGTCGTCAATCTTGTAACGGGGCCAACATGGATGATGAGCATATGGATGATTTGAAACAAACCAATCTGATATGTCAAATGAATGAAGCTGAGGATAGACCTCGAGGCGTACTTCGCTCATCTGTTAAGAACTTCCCCCTGCCTCAGATGTGTCAACCTCGACACAGATCGCGTCAGATTCAAAACAGGAGGATGTTACAAAGACAAAGGGCGAGCTTTTGCTCAGCAGCACTTGCCTGATTGAAGCCGTTCTCCCCACCATACGACACATCCACCACGTTGATGATCTTCGCCTGGAGCCTGGGATCAAACATGTCCGACTGGCCCAACTCCGTCTTGAAGTCTGCAGATCCCGCCAGGACAATGCCAGCCACATTCGGCTGCAAAGCAGAAGACAAACCTAATCAGAAGATTCAATTGCACGCCTTGCAAACACGCAACTTGGGACGCCTAGCCTGGATAGCAACCCAATCGAAAGAGAAGAACTATCCTTCCCAAAGGATTGCAGGTAGGAACTCACAGACTTTGATTTTGTGCAGGTTGACAGCGCAGGTAGGCAACCACCAGCAAGTCAAAGGGCCACAATATCGCAGAACTGCCTTTTCCAAGACAAGTCACCTTTTGCTAGTTTAACAAGATGGCCTTCAAAAAACTCAGAAACACTTCTCATCAACCTTTTGAGCCCTTGCGCAGTTTCTCTTGCTTCCTATTTTTACACTCGCTTCTTCCATTTGTAAGGATCTGTCATAAGTGATTTCAAATCCCTGCCAGAAACAGAAATCTATTCTGCAAGCTCACCTGGCTCGTGGCAGGGTTGATGAAGAACTGCGTGCTCAGCTCGGCGACCTTTCTAACGTAGTTGTGACGCTTTTCCACACGCAGACGCGCGAAACGGAGCGCAGACTGCCCTCCTCTGCCGTGCTTCTTTGGCAGGTCGACCGACACCTTGTGCAAAATCTCACGGGTGTTTCCGCTCAGGGTGCCAAAGAGGGAGCCATTGCCATCCATCACCTGCAGACCATAGCGCCAAGTTCAAGGTCTGAACTGCCACCTTAACACTAAAGCTACCCTTCAAAGGCAACTTGCAGGTAAGAATTGTTTGTGCGTCTTATAAACATCGGACAACGGATAAAAACACATTTGTATCCACTGGGAGGCAGCAATGCATAATGCTCAAGATGAAGACCAGTCTCCCAATGCTGACCCTACAAAAGTGCCGCAACTTGTGCAAATACAGCAAACCCGCAGTGTGAATGCTGCAAATTCAAGATGCAGCTTGAAGACATCCCCTCACGCTGATCTTGCACAAACAATTGCAACTCCTGTGTGTGAACAAAGTACTACGCAAAGCAAGCCAAACGGGCACTGGGGTAGTGCCTGGAGTGGATGATACTCACAATGAACCCAAACGTGTCGTCTGACTCCAAAAGCTCTTTCAATGGCTGCAAGACAAGGGACAACGGATCACAATCAGGCCATATGAACAGAATGAATTTGAAGCAGCTAAGATGCTGCAATGACGCATGATGAATATCATTTTGCAATCAATGCTTTCTAGCACGAGGCAGCTTGTACAGAACTTTGCTTCGTCATCTAGGCTGTACCCAGTGACCTTTCGGCAGAGGCTCCAGACCTCTTCTTTCTCAAACAAGTCAACAAAAACTGGACACTCCATTCCTGCCAGCAACTGCTCACCTCCGTATGGAACTTGCTGTCACACAGGTAGAGGGAGATGTTGATCGGCTTGAAAGGCTCGATTGCCATGCTCATCTTCTTCTCCTTGCCATCGTCTGTCATCACAGTGCCCGTGTAGATGACCAGTCCATTCGCGGGCACCTGCGTTGGACAAGGCAATGCAGCGCCGTCAGAAGCATAAACTTTCCGGCGTCAAACAGACACCATTCATTTGTCGGCTATGCACTGCGTGAGTGCTGATAGGGCCTTCATCCAATTGCAATTCTGCTCAATCTTTTCGCTTATGGTTCATATTCGTAATTCAAGTTGCCTTGAAAAAAGCGCAGTGCCACCAGCAAGCATCACTGCTGCACGTGGAACAACTCCACTTCAAAAGCCTAGACAAGTTGCTATTATGTAAACCAATATCAACATTTGGACGAGGTGCCTCCATAGCACCCACAGGAAAAGGTGTTCAACGCAGCAGCAACCCCAGAACCACAATTTAAGCAAGGTAACCCCACGATTCCAGCGCCACTCACCCTAGTGAAAAGCTTCAGCTTCTGCTGAGCAGATGTGATAGCCGCAAGGACCGAGAGCCTGTTCACTCTGCTCTTAATGTTGGACGCCGTGCCTGCTTCTTCTGTCAGCATCTTAGCCACCCGGGAGATCTGGCCGCCCTGGGGCATGATGATGGAAATCATGCTCGTTCCATTGCTGCAACAGGAGACAAAAAATGTGAGCTTAAGCTCCAAAGTGAAGATCAATGACAGGTTTTTGATCATGTTGAATCATCACAGAACACACGGCTCAGGCTCAAACCCGAAACCCCACTGAAACCTTGGCAGGCTTGCATGCATGAACACTTCATTGCGGCTGAAGGCATACGGCTTTTTAGTTGCAAAACAGCGAATACTTGACAAAAGGGCCCCCTGAGAAAGAATGCATAACTCAGACTAGCAACCATTACCACTGACCAGCACTGTCAGAAGAGTAATATTAACAGGCAATGGAACAATAATTCCTTTGTGACAGTCGTACAAGCCAAGAATTGCGTATTCATCGCAAATACCCCAGATCGTGGCTACCATGCATCCAATGGAAAAGCTGTACCCTCAGAATTCAAAACACATACGTGCAGCCACAAAACTTCACGTGTCTTCCTGCTAGGAACAAGAAGCAAAGCAATTGGAAACATGCGGGAGGAAAGGATTCTGCACAGTGCAAACCTTACCCTCGGTATGAATCCAAGGTCTTGATGAGCCTTTTGATCTTCCAAACCTCTATGTTCTTGTCCCCCTCCGCTTTCCCGTGGTCCGCACGTTCAGACATTGTGCCTCGAGCCTCGTTCTCGATTCCTGAAAGGGCAAGGAGGCTTGGGCAAGAGCTGAAGCTTACGGGCGCCGAAGGCAAGAGCGGACAGGAGAAAACAAGCCTGCTCAGGGTGGAAACCCGTCAGTTTTGCACCAGCAGAAACCGACGAAGTGAGCTGGACTTCAGATCCAAGAATTCGAAGTGCACGACACCAGCTGTCACTTGCCAACTAGGGGTGCGGTAAATACGTGCACTGAGTTCATCCGGTAGCTACAAAAGTTGGCGTCTGAATTGTTGAAGCTTTACCACTTAATAGTAGCCAATCCTAATAGTACTCCAGGTTTGCCAGCGAACGCATAGTCCTACCCGGCCTGTCTAGAATGATCAACAAGTCCCATGCAACGCGGAATAGAAACAGGCAGACCGAACACGCCTATCCATTCAAATCCGGTCATGATCCACAGATCCAGTTTGCCATCCATACGATAGCATGTATAGACATGCACAATGTTCTGAAAAAAAGTTCGCCCGAACTCTATGTCCTCTCTATGTTTGTACTTCTATTTCTCAACACATATTCCTCACGAAGTCAAATCCTTGCATGGTTTTCTATTAGTCATGGAAAATCGTGCACGAAGCAGCTGCTTGTCCGAGTCTGATAAGTATACATTAACGCATTACGAAAGAAGACTGAGAGGGCAGAATCTGGTCCTTCCAAGTGGTTCCTTGGAACTGAAAAACTACTGATTGTAACCAAGGATGCACTTGTGTGAGCTATGTAGGCACCGTCGCATTCGCTAAGGTAGGGCTGTTTCACTTGTCAAAGCAAAGTAGCCATCGGTGCAAACATTGATGAGGACAGCCTAGGAAACCGCAAACGTGAAGCACCAAGATAAGCTAGATAACTTAGGTCACGAGGGACTTAGACTTAGAATTGCGATCTCTCACAACTCACAACAATAAACGTTCTAGAAGCAACACCAAGCGGGCCAGACACGTTTTGAACTTCAACAACTCTGCTAAGCATGCACGAGTTTGATCACAACACCAGTAGTTTACGACTTTAGATTACCCGTGTCCCCTGCGGTGGTCATGAATCTTCTTCCTCTTCCTCCCCGGACAGCCAGCAATGCGCCGAGTCCCCGCTCACTTGTCCGTCCTCCACCCAAACCGGCTTCGGCACACCTTTCACTTTGAGCAGAAACGATACTACACCCTCGGGGGAAACCCGCCGACCCCTCACGAAGTCGACCGCGCACTGCGTCAACCCGTTATCTTGCGCCTTCCCGATCGCGCGTTTAGACTTCCCCTTCTTCGCAGCAGGCTGCGCCTTGACGGTTTCGGACATGGAAACCTTGGGCTCCCGTTTTCGCTTCTTTGGGGGGCTGTCAATTGACGGCTCCTTGACTAGTGCTGCGCCCCCCTGGTCCGAGTCGGCGCTCACGGGAATGACCTCCTCTTCCCCCTGAAAGAGGACGGACTTGAAGTAAGAGGCTGAAACAAGCATATACGCGCCACTTTGTCGAGGTCCGGCTTGGCTTTCTTCGGAGCCTTATCCCTACGAAGTCCCAGTGCAAATCAAAATCGGACAACTAACACTGTTGACTAGACCGCAAGGTTGCAGGCGCGGAGGCAGAGGATTCAAAGCAAAGCAGATCTGACGGCTTACGTCGTCAATCTGGACCTCGTCGCCCTCCCCCTCTTCGCCCTCGAGCGCTGCGGTCCCGTCCCTGTCGGCCCGCACGATGTGCACCTTCACCCGCCACTTCTCCTGCAGCGGGGCAGGATCCGTCGAACGTGAGCAGTCACATAGAAAGCCTTGGGGGCATTCAACGGTCCGCTCATCGACTGCCGTTACGACTCGAGCGGCGACCGGGGTTCCAATCAATTTCGCATTTTCAGGACGATTGTATCGAATTCAGACCGAAGTAGAGCCAGCTACACGTATCATAAGAGACCACTTCCCGAAGACTTCAATTGGGTTCTAATAGAGGCACAGGTTGAGCTTACAGGTCGATGAACATGTGGAAAGAACTTTGCTAAGGTTGATTGCGAATATGATAGCTTTAGAGCCTTATCAAGGGAGGGCTAGTTCTCAAGAAGCTTGATTTGTGGGAAAGAAAAGTTGCAGTGTTCGAACAGCAAACGCTTGAGTGGGCAGGCAACATTTTTTGTTTCTGCTCTCCAGGAAAAGAAGGTCTGGATATGAACCAAGGGATTCTCCTCGGGGGATTTCGAAGAGCGGCGAAAGCGAAGGACTCCTGGGAGAAAGAGCGTGGCGCTTCGTTCAGTTACCCGATTACACGACTGCCGAAAAGAAAAGGACAAACGGAAACTTTTCATTGCCGGGGAATGCAAGAGAAACATGCACGCAATTCTGTGTCCAGGTGTAAGAGTTAAGTCCAGGACTCCAGCTCAGATTTTTGTCGGTGCTTTCTCTGCGATTTGTATGTTTGAGGCCTTCATTTTTTCAATGCACGTCCTCTAAAGGGAAACGGACAAAAAAACAAGAAGCAGAGTGAGGCAGCGCCCAGATTGAGAGCCTCTACGAAGACGTTCTGGCCGGCCCTTTGCACCACGGACGATCGGTACAGAAAAGTGAATGTTGATACAGGAAGCTTCATACACCGGAAAGCGAGAAAGGTCAATTTGGCGCCTCGTTTCAAGCTCAAGCACGATGCGAATCCTCTCCTCCGACACTTACGTAAGACAGCTACCTCGGTAGCCACCAGCTTTTTCCTGACAACCGTCGACACTGTGACGACACTTCTTGCACCTAAAGAACCTCGTCAATCTCTGAGCGTCAAAATTCAACGTCTTCCGCAACAAACGTTAGGGTCTGTTGGCCCAACAAGGCTGCCGCTGCTCCAACAGCTCTCAAATCGCGAACCGACAGCTGTCAGAGAACAAAACCCAACAGCTGTCAAAGCGAAACCGACAGCTGTCAGCTCTCTCGCGCGCCAGCTGTCACCTCTCCGCGCGGTTCAATCACTTCAAACACGCAGCAGTCCCCGTCCCCCAGGTCGTGGTCTTTCGCGAAACCGCCCCACCCCCCGCTCAGGCCCGCACGGCTCGGCTTATACATAACCTCCCAGCTTTCTCCGTGCTCGTCTTCGAGGATAAGCAGGCCGTCGCGGTCCCCTGGGAGGTGGTGCTGGCAGAAGTGCGCCTGTAGATGCTGCGGGAAGGTCCGGGGAGGGGGGTAAGGGACGGGGCTGCTGGCGGGGGGTGGAGAAAATAAAGGTTGAAAAGTAAAAGGTAGGAAAAGGGCGGGGAAAGAGTAGAAAAAAGGAGGGGGAAAGGGGCGAGGAAAGGAGAAATGTACCAAATCGAAATGAAAAGGAAAAGGAAGAGAAAAGAGAAGAAAAGGAAAAGGAAAGGGAGAGGGGAAAAGAGAAGGGGGGAAAGAAGAGAAGGAAAAAGCAGGAAAACGAAGAAAAGGATAAGAAAAGGGGGGAGAGGGTCGATCCGGGCATTTAGTAATGAAGAGGGTGGTCGTGACAACTGGGGTGTAACTTGGTTGGGAAAGAAAGTCAATTGTTTTGGGTATGGAGATTGGCGGCGCGCCCTGAGCCCCCACGCGAGCGCGCGCCCCGACCTTGTCGACGACCTCGAACTTCGCCGCGTCCCCGTCGTCGAGCCCGTGGTCGATCGCGAACGCGCGCCAGCCGCCCGAGAGCGCGCCCCGCACCGGCTTATAGACCGCCTCCCACTCCCCCCCCGCGGGGCCCTCGAGCAGCACCGCGCGCTCGTCGGGGGAGAGATGCGCGTCGCAGAACGCCCTGTCCAGATTCTGGGGGGGAGATACATGTTTCAGGAGCGAGTTTAGGGGTTGTGAGTTTGGGGCTGGGGGTTCTGAGCAGGCCCCGTGATTTGGAGGAGAGTAGAGAGAAAAAGGGGGGTGTTAGTTTGGGGGAGGGTGGGTTTGTCAAATGGGGGGGTGGATTTTAGTGGGCGCGGAAGGGGGGGGAAGCGTGTCACCTTGTCCAAAACCTCGAACGCGAGTGCGTCCCCGTCGTCGAAGCCCTTATGGATGGAGTAGCCGCGCCAGCCGGCGCTTAGACCTTTCTTACCGCCCAGGTACTTGCACTCCCAAGCCTCGCCGTCGGCGTCGAGGAGCGTGACCCACACGTCGTGGCTGGGCATGTGCACGACGCACCAGTCGTTGGGCCATTGCTGGGGAAACGCGGGGGCCATTATCAAAATTTGCGTTGAAAAGTATGATTGATTGGACTGACGAATCTGGACTAGGTAGTGAGGTTTTTGTTTTGGGGACCTTCACATCTATGACATTCTCTATGCATATCGTTTGGAGTTTCTGAAGTGCGGGGACCGCAATGAGTTTCTGTCCGGTATCTTGCAACGACGGCAAAGTGGGACGCGGGGTGAGAAGATGTTTCTGCAGTAGAGTGCAGATTCGAGAAAGGAAGAGGGAACACGGGGGCCCGGAACAAGTTTTGCCCAGTTTGATGCATATATGAACGGAAAAATTGAGAGGAAGGATGGAGTCGGAGAGGAAAAGAGCAGCGAAAGCGATTCCATTTGCGTGTCGCACTGGTCGCTGCAGACTGTCTCATGTGTGATTTAAAAAGAAAAGAAAGAAACGGAAGGAAGAGGAGGAGGGAAAGGTGTGGTATCAGGATGTGTGCTTGATGTGCTGATGAAAAGGGAGGGTGCGTTTAAAGTGACCGCGTACAAGTTCCAACGTTAAAGGTGGGAAATAAACGAGGGGGGCAAGCGTTCAGGGCACCAGTGGTCGAAACGTTGCCCGGGGAACGACGCCTGGATGAAACGACTCTGCTCGTCGTCGAAAGCAAAAGCGGAAATGCAACAAACAGGTGTACGGATTTGATTAACTGGTGGACTACGTGGGGCTGCTAGAAAGAGAAAAATGGGAAACAGAAGAACTTGTATAGGTCAATACGGAAAAAGGAATGATGACGAGGCCGGAAGACAGATTGATCTGAATGAAAATCGTCATGACCCAAAAAGCATCGCCCCAGTACTAAGTGCCCTGATGAGACGTTCTTAAAGGATGCCAGACAGCGTTGCATGCTCTTCCGGCTCTTTCTGTGAGCGGTACGATTGAGAAGCAGCCAAACGCAACTAGAAAAGCCTTTGTATCTGGAGAAGCCGTTTTTCACGAAGTGCCCGCTTGATCATCTTTCAAGCAAAAAAAACTTGTGACAACGTCGATGCAAGCTTCCCTAGTGCTTACAAGCACTATCAAAGGATGCTCGAAACCTTCAATCTGAAGCGCATTGTAGACCGGAGTCCTGATAGATCAACCTTCCAGATGCTTTGGGTCGCCCGGAGTCGCCTCAAGGCTCTCTCAAGCTTTGACGGGTGTCCTTCCGGCTTCCCCGAACCAGGCACGTTTCCAGACGCTTGCAAACCTCATGAGAACAAATGGGCTTCACATAGCCAAAATGCCCGCTAGAAAATCCTTACAGAGACTTTCTTGTTCGACAGTCATTTGAGCACATTTCTGCTACTCCGTGTATTTAGAGACTCTCGCCTTCGCAGTCCAAACCCGTCATACATCCTCATGAGATAACCATAATAGTTTCCAAAGGGAAATTGGGGAGGGGAACGCATCATCCGAAAAAGGGACGGTGAAGTGTGTAGCAAAAGATCCCTTACCAGCCAGAAGCCGCCTGAGATCATCGACTGCAACAGTCGCTTCACAAACGCCGGTCCTTCCACCTTGATCGCATTAGCTCTCGCCTCTGCTTCATCCCTGGCTTCGTCAGAACACGTCGATGTGCCGCTGCGGGGCCGGTAGGGTCCCGCTGATCGACGGCCCGGCCCCCGAGTCAGCCGAAGGTGGTCGTTCCTTTCTTCTAGGTCCCTGGCAAAAGAAAAGGGCCGGTGAGCAAGACCAGAATCGCGAACAGCGGGACACTTCCATAGGGGAACGCACAAGCTCGTGAAAACAGGGTTACACACATGTGTATCCTGGTCGAACGCATGGCACCCCCATGTTGAGATACAGTAACACTCCATCAACAATTCCAGCCTGTCTGCGTGTCTGCGTATCTTCAACAGTGGCTCCAGTAAGTCAAGATCTTTGTCACCTCAGGAGGCAACTCTGAGTAGCAAGCTCTGACAAAGGAGGCCCTCCTCAAACACTGGCGACTTCAGCAAAGCGACGGAAGACAACGGGAGCCCAAAATTGAAAGACATCCTCACTTGTAGGACACAGCTGGCATGTTTTGGACTCGGCCCGACCGTCGGATCTCTACAATCCCGTCAACGCCGTGGGCTCCCAGGGAAGAGCGTCGCCTAGGGGCCTGCGGTTTTGCTCTGCTGGCTGCCAAAGCGTCTGCTGCGTCCACGATTCCAAAGTCCTGCCGAGCAAAAAAGAGACTTCCCTCAGGCTTGAAAACGGTGACATCGCGAAGGGGATTCTAGAGTTGTGTGAGGTTTCAAGCCTCACACAGTTCTCAAAGGCAAGCCCATGCCAAGGAAAGAAAGGAAATAGCTTGGGCTCCCGACAGATTTTCAAGCATCAGCTCTGCAAAATACGGTGAAAAGGGGATGACTTTTGCTTTGAATCCTTTTTCTGATGTTATTGAGGAATCGTTCTAATGGTGACGCTCTTCAGAGAAAGCCCACTGAGAGTCTGGACACGAAGATGGAGGGCGGTGGGGTACAGGACCTCTCCAACATTGGCCCCGTGTTTGTTTCATCTCTTATGGAGAACTCGTTCAGATAGCCTACGATTGTGCGAGCTCGTTATGTCAGAAAGGGGCGCGACAAAGCCGACCACTCCTCTGATGCTTTCCCTACATTGAAGCGGGGACCCCAGGAGACCGCACCAAAAGGCGTCAATCTTGCAGGACACGGGTTGAATCCCCTGCCCATCATGCCCTTTCCCTGAAAGGAGAAACCAACTGACCTGCAGGTGGCGCTCATTTTCCTTGATTCTCTCCTGGCGTTCTAACTCGATCTTGGAGAGCTTTGCCATGGAGCTGGCTGGAGCCTGCATGGAGCAAAAGGGAACTGCATTTGGCCCTTGTCAAGGACAGGTTTGGCAAGACTGTTTCCGTAGAGTATGTATGAGGGACGGTGATAAATTGTAACAGCTTGGACCTGCGGTAACTCTCTAAAGCATTGTGTGGGTACAATTGTGGTCCATCTTTTGAGCCACTGTTTCTGTAGAAACAAAGTTACCATCCTCTCGTCAGAAATGCTTTCATCAAGAAAGGCCCTTCCTTTCCTACTCTTGACGGTGGGTGCTGACATCCAATGCTGCAGCTCCAGAAAACTGCGCGGAGAAGCCTTTCATTGTGACAATGTCGTCGCAAGCACAGAGCTATCAGAGAGCCACATTGCATGAGCTTACTCACTGGGTTCTTACAAAGAACAAGACCAGGGCAAACTGCCTAGTTACAAATATGTCTCATGAGACTGCACCATAGCAGCTTCCAAGCATTCATGATCAAGAACAAGTGCAAGCTGTTTGGTCATAACGTGTAAGGGAAAGTACCTATAATCCAAACAGTCTCAGAAACAGCTCATGGTGACTAGCATTTAATCCATTCCGTCAAAGATCCGAGAAAGTCAACCCAATGTTGATAGGTGCCTAATCTAGAGGTGGGCAGCCATGGGCGGACGCTTAGGTCTTGTGAAGTGAACAACAGTGTGAAATCGTTGCCAAACTTCAGATGGGACCTTGCTTCTAGTCCCCGAGTGAACAAAAATGTCGAGAATCCGCGTATACTAACTGCAAAGCAATGCCGGTTCCTCTGCCTTCATTTCTGAAGAGAGGACTGAGCAAGATTGAGGCACATCGTCGACGCTGGCAAGTTAGTTGTGCTACAGACCTTGATGTAGAAGTGAAGAGGTCCTCGGTGTATCCTGAACCAATTTCGTTCAGCTAAAGCAAGCGCTTGGTAATTCCCCTTTCAATAAGTGCTCAGCCTATTCCTCTGACGTCAGCAAATTGGGCGCCCGATCACTGCACGCATTGTCTGTCCTAGCGCCGTTGCCACTGCTCCTCCGATTCGGCTCCCTCCCTGCCTATGCTGAGCACAATTTCTGCTGCAGCAGTAGAGGCAAATTGAGGGTGCTCGTTCTCACGTTGCACTGTCTGATGTTCTCTTCTCATAAGCCCGTACCCATCAAAGGCATGGGGCTGCTACGACAGTGTAACCTGTCGTAGGGAGCACTGAGGTGCTCGGGGATTGCACGCAAGATTGACACTATTGGGAACCTGGAGCCTGCACCAAGCAGCGCGACCCCGGTAGCAGAGACGCTGGCCTCTCGCTCCGGGACACCGGGCGAGACTCAGTGTCAACCTTGCGATTGTTTCCGGGCCAACCTTAATAGCAAAAGTATTCTCGTTTCCATGAGGTGTGAAAAGGATCAACGGTCACATGTGCTTAGTTGGCACAACGTCGCCCAATCAAAAAGCACAATTTTGGCGCGCCCTTGAGAAATCTCAACCTGTGACGTCATTGAACCCGCCGGTCCGAGCAGGCGCGGCGGCGCGGCGGGTCCGGGCGCCCGGCACGTTTGGCAGGCTGATTAATTGTTTCAAGTTTTCTTCCACTGTGCATGTGCAAAGGCGGGATTCACACAATTGCACTACGCGATTCAGTTGAGGGAAACTTCACAAAATTGCACACGTCGCAAGGTGCAATACCATCGATTGTTGTAGGCGCGTGCATGCGACTTCATTGCGCTTTAGCTACTGGCCGTACACTGATTAAGAGATTTTTGCATCAACCGGCTAGCTATATGGTATACGAAGCTAGCATAATGAGAGGCCCGCGAGGCGTTTTACATGCTGCCAGCGATTCTGGGCCAAGACGTTCTTGAGAATGCTTTCATAGTCTTCAGCACGTGAATATCCTCTGGTTTCGAGAGGTTTAAGACTGAAGCTGTAAGCGTTCCCAAATCAAGTCTTCTGCACGACAACATGCCTCCGCATCTCCAATACGGCCGCTGCTCTTGCACACCTTTGCACACGATAATAATCACCCCATTCATAAGGCTCCCAATGATCTCTGGATTGGAGCCCTCATTGACATGTTGACAACCCTCATGCCTGATCCCAAGCGCGCAGGAGATCAGCAATACGAGGACAGCATCCATGGATCGTGCAAACTTTTGCTCAGTTCTTGCTATGCCCTTTGCTGACTATGCGGTCGCATGCCTTCGGTACTCAGCGAGTGCGCGGGCTCTACTTCCCTGCTGTTCCCTTTTATATAACTATGGTTGATGGACGAGACCAGATACCAGCACGTCTTCGACTTCTTCAAGGTGCGCGAGCATGCGCCCAAGAGCGCGCCTGCACACGAGGGACTTGTTGATCAGTGCAATGTTGCACTTTCAGACAAAACATGAGGTTCAAACAAGGTAGATCTCTGTTCAAAGCGGAACCGAAAAGGGATTCGGCGAGCAAGCATCTGTACTGATTGCAGTTTGCACTTCGGTGACAAGATATCATTGAACGCTTAGCTACGAAGTCGGGTCGTGAGGAGAATGCGCCGCACGGCGTCACGACACTCACTTGTTGTCCGCCCTAGTTCGAGCGAGTTCTCGTGCGCTTGATAGAGCGAGCTTCATCAACCTGCAAACAGCAATGCGTCCTTAAAAAGAGCTCCCGCTGTTCCGCACACGTGAGCAACTTCGAGACCCTGCACTCGCATCTCAAACAAGCTCGCGTGCAATTGCGGCTGGTCGCTGTAACCGCCTTAATATACCTACTTTTTTGCGGATTGGTGTTCCTTCCTGAACTTGCGTGTCTACTTTTGCCTCCTCTTCTACGCACGAGGCAACCATACCTAGGAGAAGGGTTACGAAGGAGCCTTTACAAAAGGCCATTAATAGAGCCTCCGCAGATTACCCAGTTTTTCGCTGAGAAAAAGTAAAGCTCATGTAAAGACGACCCTTAGGAAACAAGCAAACGTGAGTCCAATTCCTCACCTGTCTGTTTCGAGCGGTGCGGTTGGCCCCGGGTCACCCGTTCCGGCCTTCCCTCTGACGTTCCGTCCGTCTTTGGTGACGGGCGGAATGAGGATGTGAGCGGGCCAGGCCGCTCGGGCTTCCGGCGGGACAGGAGACCCTGCAAGTAGCAGACGAGAATACTTTATGTGATGACCAACAGGCGTTGCCTCGAAAAGGATCGCTCGCGCGGTAAAACTGGTAACTGCCATTTCTTTTCTTCCTTGCGCATGCGTGTAAATATATTTCCGACTTGAACAAAGACGCATCTGCAGCTTTATCCACGTTTGATTAACGGGAACCTCTAACGCCTTCGAAGCACTTTTTTTCATCCTTGGCTGTCCTTTTAGCCTCCCTATCCCTAAGCTTGAGTGCCCTCTAACGTCTGCGCGTTCGGACTTCAACGTGCAGAAAGAAGAATTTACTACTTTTAGCATATGCCAACAGCGGCGTTCCGAATCCCGACCAATCCTACAGATAGTGCTGTCTATTAGATGAGCTGTCACATTCACACGCTTCTTATTGTTTTGCTCAATTCAAAGAAAACCCACCTCGGTTACAAGTGTCCGCCGCATGCGACGTGCATCCTTCCAGAAGGGCCCTGACGTCGTCCGGGAGTGACGCTCCGCTGACGTCGTGGGCCCCTGTCAGCAGATGTCGACACGTTCGAGTCTCTTCAGTCCGCGGGAATGGCGCGAGTAAATCGAGTCAAGAATTGCGAAAGCGAGGCCAGTCCATCAAAGTTGCATTTCTGCTCCAGAAAAGTTGAGTATGACTGCGCTGACACAAGCCAAACTGTGGTCCGATTCACGGCGCCAAAAATTCGGCCACCAAGCGTACGAAGCTTTACAACTATGTTGTGAACCGGACCTTGCTCCAGAATTCGACAAAGCTCTCCTTATTTGACAGCATCCCCATCAGACCAATCACGAACGCGCGCCTCGTTGTAATGCAGATCAGTGGGTGAAATCCAAACTGGAAGTTGCATTGCAAAAAGCAATGGGACGTGAGGGCAGTCGCAGTCATATCAACTTACCCGAAACCTCCGCGTCTTCTAGTACGCGCTCCAACAGCGCATCGTACGATTCCCACCCTCTCTCTCGCAGCCACTCTTCGATCTCCTCAATCCGTCGCGCCTCTTCTCCCCCTTCTTCGCCACTATCTGATCCGCATTCTAACACACCCCCCTGTTTGTGTACCCGCTTCGAGTCTTCTATTCTGAGGTCCAATTCGCTCGTAAGCGCCGCCAAATCCGCTTCAATTGGCAACCGGGAGAATTCTTCGTCCCGGGGGGTTGGTTTTGAGTGGTGATCCGCCCCCCCGGCCTCGCGTTCGTCCACCACGCTCTCCATCCACTGCCAGAAGAGGGCCTCGTGGCGGGCGCTCTCGGCGGCGGCGGTGTGAATGGCCTCGTCGACGCTGAGCGCCTTCTCGTGGGCCTGGGCAGGGGGCGCATTCACACACTGTTTGTGCTTTTGTGGTTTCCGACACCTGGACATGCAGGGATGCAATGAGATGTGCGGCTGACCGAGAAAGAGTCCGATTTGGGATGTCAAAAACATCGTTTCCTCGATGGAACACGTGGATATGCCATCGGAGAGTGATATTTGGGGAGGATTGAACACGAAATTCTCTGATAAAGGGACGTAATCCTTGAGCTCTTGAAGCAGGACAATTCCAACGGACAGCGGTTCGAACTTAGCCGTTGGAACACGTCAAGACTCTGCCAGCTTGCCTCAACTAGAAGAGAAGCGACGGGGGTTAAAGTATTCGTCACCAAGAGGGTAAAGGCGGTAAGCGGATAACAAACTCATTGGAGCAACCTCCGCAATGGCGACCTGGGAGCGAACTCTTTCTACACACCGCAGTTGTATACCGAGCATCGCTTTCTTTCGTGTTCGTAAGACGCCTGATCAGAACCCCAACCCACCTCGAGGACTGACCGCTTCCTCAGCAGCTGCAGCTCGTACAGCCCGTACAAAGGCGGCGCCGGGGGGCAATTCACACCGGCCGCCGCCGCTGCTTCCACAGTCTTCGCCCGGATCTCGAGCTGGGTGTGAATAAGCTCCTGCTTCCGTTTCGCCTGGCAGGCGTCGAAGGACGCCAGGCTGCCCAGCTCGGAGCGGAGGCGGCCGTACAGGGTTAAGGCCTCGTTAACCAGCGCGTCAGCCTGCAGGGGTTGAACGAGGGTTAACGGAGAGGGTCAGCGCCTCCTTTAAAGAATCCTGGACCCGTTCGAAGCGGATTGAAGCATGGTTGACAAGAGCGTTAGCCTTTGGTTAATCAAGGAGCTGAGTTGAGGCGATGACTACACTTTGGAATCGTGACAAGATTCTTACCCAAATTGAGCAGTGTAAGCTGGGCACTCGAGCAACAAGGGGAGTGGGTGCAAAAGGTGTATAACGTTCAAACATGAAGGAAAGGTCATAGGAAGCCCCGGTTGGCTCGAGCATGGGTGAGAGAAGTGGAATAGGAGTCGCAGGGTGGTTCTGACCGTCTTGTCGTGCACGTTGGGCTCGACCGGAAAAGGCCAAACCTATGCTGCGGTCAAATGCACGAGGATGCGGAGCCCTGATAAAAGATGGCCAGTCGAACACTGCACCAAAGTTGGTGATTCCTTACCTTCGCTCCTCCTTCTAATCCAGTCCCCGCCTCCTTAACCCGGGCAACATGCGCTGAAACTTGAGCATAAGCATGGCGAGCAGCATTCTTCGATCTTGGGCAGTCAGTAGTATCCCCCGGGTATGAGGGCAACGGCAGCGGCACGTCCGGCGGGAGACTCTTCCGCAGGCGGGCCGTGCGGATTTGAAGGCCACGGGAGAAGACATCCGTGTGGGCGATGAGCCAACCGAGGGCTATCAGGAGGTCACTGTAAGAGTAGGGGAAGAGAGGGAAGTTGACCTGTGTGGTTAAGGTCCCTTTGAAAACGTTTTAACCTGCGTGGTTAAGGTCCGTTTTGAAACGTAAGAAACGGTCAGGGCAGTGGGAATGGAGACCACGGGAGAAGGCGTCGGTGTGGGCAATGAGCCAACCGAGGGTTATGAAGAGGTCTCTGTAAAAGTGGGTGAAAAGAGGGAAGTTTACTGGCGTGCTTTGGAGACAATCCGACTTTCGTATGGTCGGGGCAATAAAGGGTTAAGGAGTCAATGCTGGGTCTGGTGGAGCATTCGGGGGGGGACTGTATAAAAGCTGATCCAGGGTTACGACCAGAGTAGTGGATGAGAAGCAAGATCCGCAGAGAGAGAACATGTTTGCGAAGGGGCATAGCATCGTCAAGGAAGCCTGGCCCGACAATCTTACGGTGCGCTTATAGCAAAGGGGTCTCGCTCTATGAAAGGCAGTTCCGACAGGATCCAGAGACACCGCGAAACGCTCACCGGCTCTGAGTCTTCTCAAAACTCTCCGCATGAGGTGTCGCTTGGCTGGAACAACCCCAAAGGCGGAGGTAGTACTCGACAAAGGCAGCGACTGCAAGAGAATAATAAAAGAAAGCTTGTACTTGAGGCTCAGACCGGTGAAAGGTTGGTGGCTTTTTGTACGTCATTATGATTGTAAGGAATTTCAACTCTTCTGCTCTGCCGATTTGGAACAACCCCTTCGAATAATTATCTCTGGACTAGGACTTGGACTGCGGATTGCAAAGCTAAGACACTACAAAAAGTACCTGTCCACTTCTGGCCCATCAAGGATTTCAAGCCACCCCCCCTCGCCTCTACTTAGCTATACTTTGCATAACCAACGAAAATGAATATACAAAGTCCAGAACCGGCCAACGCACTTTTCTCATGCTGCCCCTCCAAGTCCAAGTTTGCCCAGAGTTCGCTCAGGCGATCGCTGATGTCACCCTGGGGGAAGCCAGTCAGCTGGAGAAGCACGAGGCTGTGAAGGACGGGCCACAGTTTTCCTGCCTGCACGAACACATGGCGACTGTGTTAGACTGAGCAACTTTATTTCACCGTTAGCCACAGCTTTCTGAGATGACAGATTGTCAGTGACAAGCAAAGCGGTTTTTATGCCAGATGCCGTCAAGGCAATTTTGTAAGGTAGCAGATTTCGTGTCAAAAGGAATTCTTGGCCAAGGGAGAATCTCGACCACCAAGATACATTGATGCTGCTACATCATCTGGTCAAGCAGGGCTGCTCATGCAGATTGCTCCCAGCACCTAGTTGAAAGTTTTTTTGTAATGGGGGGTTTATGAACAGAAGACAGCAATGGACGTTGCACGGTTCGATTGCTGTGTTCCAAGCAATTGATGATGGCAGTATGTTGACTTCCATCTTCTCTTGAATCTCCTCAAAAGCTGCCAGTGACACAACAATCACAATGAGCACCTTCTTCTGAAAGAACTTCAGAAATCAGAAAGAATGCCAAAAGCTGAAATGCATCTGAACTACACCTTTACAAGCTCAAGCCTGACCGGCTTTTAAGACCCCCTCCTCTAAGATTTCTGGCTCAAGCCAGCTTGAAAGGTAAGCTGAATAAGACAATGCTCATACTCACAGCTTTACAAAAGATCTTATGACAAGTTTCCCAGATTCAATATTGGCTGCTGGTGAGATTCTTCAAGGAAATCTTCGAATTTGAAGATCAGCTCGAAATGAGCTGCCTAATCATAAATGAGCAAGCCACCAGCTCAATTCGTACGAATGCAGCTTACTGCAGCTGGAGCATTGAATTTGGCCTGCCGCAGGGTCTCCGGCGTTACAGGGGGAGCACCAAGGGAGGTCAGGAGGTTGCAGACATACTCCACCGATGCTTTTACTCCTTTCTGCACGTCTGTGGCCATCTTCCCGCAACAGTTGCACGGATCAATTGCAGCGCATTTGGCTTGGCTTCGCTTGGCTTGCCCTTGCCTTTCTTGCTGTGGCTGTGCAGATTGGTTTTCGCGCCTTTTTAACGAGGTTTTCACGTTGATACCTCTTTAAACCCATAGGTTTACGTGTGGTTTCGACTCGGTTTGGAGGGACAGCGGTTATAGAATCCAGCCCAATGCATGGACAACGGTCAGGTCGAAAGCTGGCACATGAGAGTTTTGGAAACGGGCTCTCCAGGCCGTTTGAGATCCTTAACCTTCTTTCATACAGCAAGTGGGTCCAAAGTATGGTTAGTGCTAACCTCGCCATTCAGGCACCACCACCAACGGTGACCACCACCATCTTCCAAGTTCCATGACAGAGTTGAAATTGCTTTCACCGATTTCAAATGGTCACTTTCTAAGAACAAGCACTGCCGGCTCCAGCAGTATGTTTTGTGTTTGGGAACTCAAAATGCGAGGGCCTCTCATGAACATGAGGTGCATTGAGCGCTTTGTGGCCTTCAAGCTCCCGCTCGATCAGCGGTGGGCACATTCATGAAAGGTGTCCACGGCCTTTGAAAGGATGCCAAGAAAGAAGAAATAGGTGGTGCAATGGGGCCAACTGAAAAGGTTTCTGAGATCGCTGACGGTATGAGGATCACTGAAACTGGAGTGACACCACCCCTTTCAGTTCACCGCACGCACTTTCCCGCTTTCCCCTTCAAGCCTTATGGCATCCAGAAGGATTTCATGGGTGCGATCTATAAGACGCTTGATCTGAATGGGATTGGCATCTTCGAGAGTCCAACGGGGACGGGCAAAACGCTAAGCCTGATTTGCAGTTCGCTGCAGTGGTTACAAGACCAGCAGTTGAAAGTGGAGGAAGAAAAGGCTAAGCAGGATGCATTGGATGATAAGTCAACGGAGCCTGATTGGATGAAAGACTTTGGGACGAAGAAGGATGAGATCAACAAAAAGCAGAAGGATGAGAGGAAGGAGAAGAGGAGGGCACGCCTGGCAAAAGAGGCCGCAAGGTTGAAAGCTGAAACTCAGAAGGCTGCGGGTTGCGGTACGAAATCAGAAATGGAGGGGTCAATAGGAGACTCGGATGATGCCTTTGTCCTTGATGAATGGGAGAGCGATACTGAGAAGGCACCGGGGAGCGCAAGGAAAAGGAAGAAGGGCGTGACGGTTGATAGCAGTGATGAGAGCGAATCTGATGAGGAGACTGAAACAAAAACAAAGGTGGGACCCTGAGACAGTGGGAGCCTCTTATCCTCTAAGGGATTTGAGTGAGTTCCTTGCCTAGACGTGTTGATTCCATAGAGAACTCTCGAAATCTACCGCATACAATCACTCACGCAAGTACCCAGGTGTTTGAGGTTCTCGCACAAACAATTGTAGGCATGATAAGAAGCACTCTTTTTGTTTCACTCTTCTGATGTCTCTTCTGCGGTCTGTATTCGTTGCCATAGTCTCAACGCTCTAATGCGTCAATGGAAGCACCTAAGTCGCTTGTGATCGATGTTCGAGTGGTGTTGCAGTATCAAGTCATTACAAAATGGATGTTGCAAATAGCAGATATATCACTCAATTTACTACTTTTGTTGGCCAGGTCTACTTCTGCAGCAGGACCCACTCTCAGCTCTCTCAGTTCATTGGAGAGCTCAAGAGGACCAGCTTCACCCAATCCGAACTCCAAACAACCTCCATCGCATCACGAAAGAACCTGTGCATCAATGAAGGTAGAATCCTCACTCTCAACACTGTCCTGCTTTTTCTGCGTGATTCGCTTTTGAGGGTCTTGCTTTTTGCAGTTGGCTTGATAAAATGAATGTGGTATTCAATGGATGTATTGGGTAGTTCGGGTGGAATACTTTCTCACCGGACTCAGTTTCCGTTCATGTGCCATCAGTGAAAGCGACCTAGATGAAACGGAAGGTCAACCCGTCATCTTAGGGGTCAACCAAGTCAGGCCTGATCTCCAGATTTAGATTATCCCAGATGTTTTTCACAATATTCCGTGGTCCCTGTAGACATCTAATCCCTTCCTTGAAGTAACTAAGTCATCCACGGACTTTCCTCTTTGGCTTCAACATCCGACTTGCGACCTTGTCCCAGCTGTGCTCAAGTAACAACCGTTCTCTACTTCGATCACTCGAATCCATCACCAGATCCATCACGAAACCCATTACTAACCCCACCGCATCGATCAATCCACCGGGTTGACTAGATTCAACAGTCACCCCTCGAATCAACCACTAACCACTCCCAAAACCCTTTCCAGCTGTGCTCCGCCTCGGCAGCACCACCCGTATCAACGAGCGCTGCCTCGAGCTCCAAAAGGACAAAGCAAAGTCCTCTTCCGCCAAACTCGCCCAAACCGCATTGGGAGGGAAGTCTAAAGCTTCCAAAGGGGGCTGCCCTTATCTCGCCCAACCGAAGCTGCAGCGGAGCTTCAAGGACCACGTGCTAGAATTTGAGCCGTTGGATATCGAGGACCTGGCACGCCTGGGCCGTCGGATCGGGACCTGTCCGTACTACGGGGCGAGGAAAGTGCTGCCGACAGCGGACTTGGTCGCGTTGCCATACCAGTCGATACTGCACAAGTGAGGACTTTTTGCATCGACTCACGGACTTGTTTGGACGGTGGTCATGCTACGAAGGTGGAGCCACTCTTAGATACAATTTTTCAACGAGCATGGTCACGGCTGGTTCGTCCGGTTAAAGGCGGCGATCATCGTTTCCTTCCTTCTCTTTGGGTTGAGGAAGAAAGGGATCATGCGACGTTCTTATAGAAGAGAAAGTTCAAATGCTCGAACAAGTTGCAGGTGTCGCTGAACGACGAAGCCGACTATCCGGCCACTTCCACTTCAATTCGCTCCTGATTCACTCAATTTGTGGACTCACGTCTTTCGACCGCCTAGATGAAGATCACCATCTTAGATTTTGTGGGTCCACAAAGTAAGTGTAGGACGTGCATATGGAAGTCCAAGTTGGTCGTTTCTCGGATCCGGTCCGTCTAGAAAAACCGACTCAACCTCACGGCGTCCATCGTTTTCGAGCTTTGACAGCCGAGGCCTACTTTTTTGAACGGTCAGTATTTCCACCCTCTCTTCACAATAAGAGGGACCGCATGACGATTTGAACTCCTGCCCAGGCCGACGCGTGAGTCGCTGGGCATCAGCCTGAAGGACAGCGTGGTCATTGTCGACGAGGCGCACAATCTAGTAGACGCTGTCACCGCCATCCACAGCAGCCTCATCACTGGACAGCAGGTGCGGACTTCTCTTGTTTCTAAATTGACTAAGGGACTAGTGAAGTAACGGGAGTGACTGAGTGACGGGTAAAGTTGGTCTGGGGTTTTAGGGTGGGTGTAGGTGGATCGTGTCATTGCTATGGTTAGATTTTTTTGTTGTTACGCTCGTGTTTGCCCCGAGTACGATCTTTTCTCGACATGAAGTAGAGATATATATTAGGTGGGGCACCATTGTACGTACCGTGCTTCGCAGCCGAACGTCCTCCGAAGCCGCCGTTTGAAATTTGGTGCAAGTGCTTTCCCGATGGTTTTTGAAGAAATAGTCAGTATTTTTGGAGTTCAGAAGGGAACAGCGTCAGGCCACAGGTTCCTACGGCTTTTCAGCACTTGAGGGTCCGAGAACATCTGAAATTGACGGAGATGCGGAGAGAACACGTGATAGTCCTCCTCCCGATTTGTGACTCCGACTTGCCTTTGTGCCCCTGAAAGTAGCCCTCATTGGACAACGCAATGACGTTTCCTTTCGACGGACAGAAGGAAATGTTTTGACGGTTACACTAACACGAACGCTTCTCTGTCTTTCACCAAGCTACCACTCGCACCCCCTGTCATTATACAGCTCGCTACCTTGTAAAAGTCAAGCTGAAGCCCTTGCTTGTGTGTGATATCTCCCAAGTCCGGACGTTGATAATAATTTCCAATTTCTGTTCCTCTTGACCCACTTCTTGCCCTCATTCCAGCTGGTAACCGTGCACGGTCAGCTCCTCGGTTACCTAACCCGCTTCGCCGACCGCCTCGCGCCCGGCAACCGGCGCTACATCCAGACCCTCCTTACGCTCACCGCCGCCTTCCTCCGCCGCCTGCGCCTAGCGAAGGATGGCACCCTCATAACATCATCCTCCACGTCAGCCGCCACGTCACCTGCCGCGTCAGCGACGGGCGAGGTGTCGACGCTGAACGACTTCCTGTTCTCGCTGGCCATAGACAACGTGAACCTCTTCCGGCTGGAGCGCTACGTCCGAGAGAGCAACGCCGTGCACAAGGTGGGGGCGCGTTCGTGCGGACGTCACGCGAGCGGTCCGTTACGTCATGACTGCGTCATGCGGAGTGGTTCCCTGAGTGGCTCGGCTACCGAGGCGAGGATTCGAAGGCGTAGAGTTGTGCAGAACCGGATCGTGCAATCGGTTTTGCACTCCCGCGTGTTTTTTTCTTCTCGTCCCTTGTCCCTTGTCCCTTGCCCAAACGTCCCTGCAGTCGTTTTCCGCTTTGTTTCGTTGCTGCTTTCGCAGAGCTATCAAACGCCCAGTCTTTAGAGTCGCGTCGTCGATGGGCGGTGGAAGAATGCCGTTTACATCACCATCAAAGCAATCACTCTATCATTGATTTATTTTTGACCGCCGACCGGCTATCTCTCATGCGCGGCTGGTGGGCTCTAGGACCGCGGCTCCGGCAGAAATGTGCGCGGACGACGCCCTCTGTGAAGCCACAGCAATGTCATTTGCGATTCTTTTTCCCCTTTTGATCTTATCGTCGAAAGCTTGCGGCTCTCTTTACCAGCGGCCTGCTTCGACATGTCGTGCAGATCAGCGGCTATGGCGAGCGGCAGCTGCAGCAGGACCCACTTGAGACAACGGAAGCAGGTGGGCGTCCATTCTGTCCTTTCTCGGTGGTGCGTTTTGACGGGCGGAGTTCGTTTGTACGATCGCGCAGGAAGACAGAACGACTTCTATCTTAGAGCACGCAGAAAATAAAGCAGAAGAGCTGAGTTGATGCCGTCTAATCCTCTTTCTTTGCATTGTCCCATTAGACACCAAAGACGTGTCTGCTCGCGCTCGGAGCTCACAATCGCATGCTGCAACGGACAGTTTATAGGGCGCCTCGCAATTTTGCCCACACCAATTGCCGGCCACGAAGCAACTGAACAGGCGAAGGAAGTAGTTCTTGAGTCCCTTACGCCCGTTGCACAATGCGGAGTTTAGCAGAGCAGCTAAGAAGGCTTTGCTCGCCTTCTGCCAATCGTAAGTCTCGGAATCCCAAAGCCTGTTCGTTCTTGAGTCCTAACAATCCAAATGTCCTCCCGTCGAGCTCTTGCGTGCTCTCTGCTGGCCGACGCTGACGTATAAAGACCCCAAAGCATAGATTTGCTGGATCCACTAGCCTTGATGAGCGCATCGCTGACGTCACAAACCCCAAACCCCTCGCAGCCTCGGCCCACAGCAGCGCCATCGGCTCCTTCCAGGCCGCCGCGGCCTTCATCGTTGCGCTGACGAGCACCGACAGCGACGGGCGCGTCATCGTGACGTCAGCGCGGTCGGGCGGCCAGCCGCACGAGGCGACGCTCAAGTTCGTCATGCTCAACGCCGCCAAGCACTTCCAACCCGTGAGACATCCTTGACGGAGCTTTGACATAGACTGGGCAACCGTGCTGCTTGCTCCCTTGCGGTGATTCCATCTTGACATTTTGGGCGCAGTCGCAAGTACGGGTCGAGGATGTAATTACTATCTTGCTCACTTCAAACATGTATGAGGGCTTAAGAGACGCTTTCGACGTAGCACACTCGCCTTTGGTTCTGCACTTAAGTACCGCCTCGACGCGTTTCTGCTCTGGTGTTGGGTTTCCTACAACAATACTTGTACGCCGTCGCTCACAAATTCTCCCAACGATTTCTAATATGCGCTTTTCTAAACTCTACAAGTCTGAAATGACCAGTCTGGATACACTCGTCCCACTAAAGCTTAAAATCTTGTCTCCTGAAGAACCCAGGATTCGCAGATTTCCAAACCCCTCAACCCCCTCCCCATGCACGCGTAGATTGTCAATGACGCGCGCGCAATTGTCCTGGCGGGCGGCACCCTCCAGCCGACGTCCGAGCTGCGCGAGCGCCTCTTCCCGCAGGTCAGTGATGAATTTTACTGATGTGATTTTAATGTGGCCGCAGCCAGCGCAGTAGTGTAGATTCTACGTTGAGTTGCGTCAGTGCCCTAGGTACGGGTGAGGCTGCTTTTGGAAATTAGGGTGGGTACTAGTACGGTGCACTTGAGCTTCTGAGTTTAGGGTTTTACTTTTTGTGAGCCCTTGGATATGTTCCAACTCAACGTATGCCTCAAACAACGTACTGATAATCGTCATTTCACTTGAGAATCTACGTACCTGGGTACTCTCTTTCAACACCCTGACCCGAAAATTACGTATTTCACATCCGCACCCACCCTAACCATTCGACCAATTCCACTCATCACCCGGACGCCTGACTTAAGTTATCTGCTTCTTCAGTCACATAAGAGCTACCAAAGTTAAGCAAATACACAATCCACCTTTTCTGCAGGTTCCGGACGTCCGGCTCCGCTTTTTCTCCTGCGGACACATCGTGCCCCGGGAGAGCGTCCTGCCCATCGCGCTGCGCCAGGGGCCCACCGGGCGCCTCTTCGACTTCCGGTTTGAGTCTCGGGGTGCGCCGGCCATGGTGAGAGATGGTCTTAGGCCCTTGTTGTCCTTGAAGTTGTTGTTCACAATGTCCGGGAATCCGATTTTTTCAAAGGCTGCGTACTTATGAATCTCGATGGTGACTAAGGTATACTTCCCGCGACTACCAGCCGCCGAGGCCAAGGGAGGCGTTCCTCAACCACAATTCTGCCCCAATTTCTTGAACCTTGTCTTCTACTTCAGGGAGTCGTATCCTTGTTTCTCCAGATCAACCTTTCTTTTAGCAATCGGCCACGTTGTCTTCTCTTATGTTCTACCTTTTGGACCCCGTACCGCTGTCTCCCCTGTGCTTTTAAAACCCTCTAAGCCTACTCCAGGCTCGTCGCTACATAACCCAGTGGGATTTTCATCTTTTGAATCATAGAATTCTGTTGTGCGCTTGTGCCTGCCGCAGCTTTAGCACGCAAGTTTTGCTCTTGGGGCTCCTCCTTCCAACGCTGGTTAACTTCTCTATGAGACCTTCAACGTGGTCTGTCGACTCATGCTCCCGATCGTCAATCAGTCAAAGCTCCGCATCCCTGGTCTGCGAAGTTCCTCAGAACCGAAGCCTCTCCAAGCCCTGCAAAAGGGACATGCCCAATTCCTACTCTTCTGCTTCTAACCAAGAGACTCCAGCCCCTACGTCCTGAGCTAGCCACCAGCCCCTAACTCCCAAACCTTGACTTCAGCCCTCTTTTCTCGCAACCCACCCCCTGGTTTTCTCTAATTCAGATCGAGGAGCTGGGCCGGCTCCTCTCCAACCTGTGCACCGTCGTGCCGGGGGGTCTCGTCTGCTTCTTCCCGTCCTTTGCGTACGCAGACCACGTGGCAAAATCCTGGGAGGCCGCAGGCATCCTTGCGTCGATCCGCGCCAAAAAGGCCGTCTTCACGGAACCACGCACCGCCGCCGAGGTGGAGAGTACGCTCGACCGGTACCGCGCATGCATCGTTGGTTCCGCCGGAATGTCAAGCGCGTTCTCCGCCGGAACGGGTTCGGGGGGGTCGGGAAAGCTGGGGAAGAAGGGGGGTGCGGTGCTCCTGTCGGTCGTGGGGGGAAAGATGTCGGAGGGGATCAACTTCAGCGACGACATGGGGCGGTGCGTGGTTATGGTCGGGTTACCGTACCCGAGCAAAACGGACCCGGAACTGCAAGAGCGGATGCAGTACCTGGAGCGCGGGTTAGACTTGACCCAGCTGGGGTTAAGTCCTTCTGCCGACGGGTTGGGGCCCGAGACGCCAGGGGGAGAGCGAGTGGGGGCGGCGGTTACTGTGAGGAAGGGTCGGGGCCACGAGTATTACGAGAACCTGTGCATGAAGGCGGTCAACCAGTCGATCGGTGAGTTTTACTGAGTAGGAGATGCAGATTATAAGGTCCATTTACCTGCAAGTGGACAGACTCTCAGTCAATCTGTAAAATTTTTTTCTAAAAAGTCCTTCGCATGATCCAGGCTTCTTTGCCTAATCCAGCCAGACAACGCCGACTTAGGTCTCCTGGCTATCTTCGAGGTGCCTGATTGGAGATTCCATTCTGTTCTCAATAATAGACTTGTTGAAAGTGTTCGAGTTTTTTGTATCATGGCGTTGCTTTTCGCTAGCGACGTTTTGGGCATAAGAACTTATCTATTTTTTTCAGAACATTCCAGGAATCACTGTCCAAGGAGGCAGCCGAGATTGCATCTTCGGAAAGAGTCAAGCGGTCTGTTGAGCTTGAATAAATGACATCCCTCTTTTCCCAGAAGAAGGGCTGCTAGGTTCTCCACCGCGGGTAATTCGCTATCTTCCTTCGTCGGATCTGCCCGTCTCCAGCTCGTCATTCAATGACGTTTCGTTTCTCTCGGATTGAGTGACCTCTCCCTTGATCCGTCAGCCTCCTGTTCTCGGCACCTTCACCAACGAGCTCTTGTTCATCAGAACAAATCCGACATTTCTCACCCCTTTCTTTCCGCATACAGGAAGAGCGATCCGGCACGCGGGAGACTACGCCTCGATTATCCTAGTGGACCACCGTTACGCCCCAGCCGCAGGCACGCAGCCAGTCTCGGGCCCCGCCAAAAAGCTGCCGGGCTGGATCCAAGATAGCCTGGTGACAGCTGGCACCTTCGGCGAGGCCTACAAGAAGTTGCACCAGTTCTTCAAAGCACGCGAGTTGCAAGCGTAGACGAGAAACATTGCGTTATCCTGACAGTCACAGGGTGCGGACTCTTCATATTGTGTGGAAAGCTGACGAGAGATCAATGAGTAGCCGATTCTGATGCTTCAAAGCTGTAGACCGTAAGAGCTCAAAGTAGGACAGGTGTAGATCTAAATGTTGTATGAAAGACGGGCTGTGACTATAGATACATGCTGTAATGCAGACTTGGTGTAGAGGAGACCCATTACCTCCGCCACTTACTGAGGGATCTGAATGTTTTCGATTCTACGAACGGTGGCATGGACCTAGATGTGATGATCAATCTGTATAACTCACACAACATGAATTAAGGTGCTAGTAGCCTATATGCGGCATCTTAGCAGAATATATCCACGTGCCAATCTAACGCAATTAACAGATTCGTGGATGAAGATATATGACAAGCTAAAGCTGGGCATGGATGAAGATCTATGACATGCCTACTGGCAAGTGAGCTATAGACAGACTTGGAAGCATGCATGCAACTTAGCTCGATGCACCGGGGAGTTGATCACGGCAGATTCCGGAAATTAGTCAAGAATTAGGCACGACGGCTGGCACATGCGCAAATCAAGCATGTGCATATAGCCATGTTACTAAGACCGTACGTGAATTGTAACGTGGTCGACATCTTACCCTGTGTGTCCCATCATGCATGCACGCCCTGTTAATATAGTGTAACCAGCGCCGCGATCGCAAGAGTCATGGCCGAATTGCCATGAATGCCCAGTGACATAGGGGCCGGGCCGCACTCAGGTTGCTTGTAATAGCATGCAATTTCAGCGAACTTTTGCATAGCTCAGTGTTTCAGCGCGTCTTTTCATAGATAGCTGGAGCTTGTGACGATTCAATTCAGTGCACGGCTTACCAGACTGAATTATACTGTTTTACTCGCAACCAACATCGAACAGTGAAGGTGAATAAGTTAACTATAATGCAATGCATCGCAAATGCATGTAATGAGCGTTGACATAATAACGACGATTTGGTAACATGGCGTCGTTGACGGAAGTCGGTAAAGGTGTCGTATGATTGGAGAGTATAAAATCCATTGATATATAGACGATGAAGCAACATGTTGTGGTTTACAATTGTCCACCATTTCCTTCGGCGAGCTGTAAGACTCAATATCATGATGGAAAGACCGTGCAGAAGATGTGGAGGAATGAGAACATGGTAATTTTAAGTATTACAATCACATCGATGGTTTTAGTAAACGTTTGGGAGACTTAACGCGCTTTCGGAAAAACTGCTGAGATTGATTCAGTAATCAATGTTCACCACAACTCCTCAACGAGGAGATAAATCTTGACAGTGTCTATTCAATGTCACCCCTTCTTCGTGTGCAGCCACAACAAAACTCGCACTCGCAAAGTCTGCACTGAATTCGCAAATCGGCACTGAGATTTGTGCCAAGCAGTGTCACACTAGACGGCCTAGATATGCATCGCCAGCTCAAAAGTCTATCTCCTCGCACATGTACAGCTCAGCACTACCAACTTGCAAAAAACGCCCAAATATGTCTGTGACATTATCTACCGCAGTGCGTCAGCAGCGTCGTCAGCCGCATGGCCGACGGCTCTCTTCGCATCCTTGGCAGTTCCCTCAACGGACCTGGCAGCGTCCTTTCCCAAATGCTTGGCGTCGTGCGCTCTGTCCTCGGCCCAGTCTTCGGCGTCTCCAGCGGCGCGCTTCGCCTTGGAGGCCAGGCCGTCGCCACGGTCCTTCGCTTCGTCGGCCTTGTCCTCAGCCCAGTTCTGCAAAAGGTTTTGGAAACGCCGGGTCAAAGAACAGAAGTAAAGCATATTTGTGTATGTCAATCGGTCTCTTCTCACCCATTAGGGACGACATCAGGCAGTTATGCGACCGTAGAAGAGTAAAACAAGGATGTTTGCCTCCAGATAATAGAGTAAAAGCTTGCTGCCACTCAAAAACAACTCTAAACAAAATCGAGAGTTTCCAATCTCGTTTGGTCAACCGATCGAGAGATTTTGTAACATCACTAGTGCAAACATCGCCTCGTAGCATGTCAATGTCCATATGGGAGGAACATTACGAACAAAACCACCACAGATTCCTTTCTCGAACGAACCTTTTCCGAAGGAAAAGGATCGGAGCGACTCTCACCTGAGTGTCTCTGGCCGCACCCTTGGCGTCCTTCTGCGCACCGCGCGCAGACCCCTTCAAGTCGTCCGCCGCATCTTCTGCCTTATCCCCCAGCCTGCCGGACTCGTGCCTGGCGTCACGTGACGCACTCTTGGCGCTCCCCTCAACGTCGTCAGCAGCGGAGCCCACCGCGCGCTTGGCATCATGCGCCTTATCTTCAACCCATTCACCCGCATCACCGGCAGCGCGCTTGGCCTTGGAAGCGAGGCTGTCGCCGCGGTCCTGGGCCTCATCAGCTTTGTCCTCGGCCCAGTTCTGCAGAGATGGTTTTAAAATCGTTAAGTACAGATCGTGTTTGTTTGCCTTGCAAAGCTTCCAACGACCAACTCCGTTGTACCACAGTCGACAGAGGACAAATTGCTTACGCTGTGTTGTTTGTAGGATGTATGATACGACCAAACGTACGAAGGCATACAATGCACGAGCCAGCATACTTGCACGAGCTGGTACGGAAGGCGACACACAAGCGAAGCGAATTTCGGACATGGCAGATTGTCACATATTTTCTTGATGGCTGCCGATTGTTATTATTAATTAGAAAAATCTTCAATGCATACCAGTGCAAAACAGTTTAACTTTTCAATCGATTCTTACCTGAGTGTCTCTGGCTGCGCCCTTGGCATCCCTCTTCAGGTCCCCCGCAGCGTCCTCAGCCTTGTCACCCCACCTCCCAGACTCGTGCCTTGCATCGCGGGACGCGCTCTTGGCACTCCCCTCAGCATCGTCAGCAGCAGAGCCCAGGGCATCCTTAGCATCGTCTGCCTTGTCCTCAATCCACTCGCCCGCGTCACCAGCAGCGCGCTTGGCCTTGGAGACGAGGTTGTCGCCGTGGCCTGAAGCTTCGTCAGCCTTGTCCTCGGCCCAGTTCTGCAGAGATAGAATCTAATAACATCAGCAAACGTCTTCTGTTTAACGATAAGCATCGGACAACAATTCCGTCTGCGTCTTTCGTTCTCTTACATTGAAGCGATAGCCAGAAAGGTCACACATAACAAAGCATGGTGCGCACGAGCTGGTACGAAGAGAGATAGGCAAGCGAGGCACTTTTTATCACATACTTCGTCAGACACTGCTGTGAGGAACAATCTCATCTAACGAAAGCATAGCATGGTCCTGACAAAAGGTAGTGAGGAAGCAACACAATGCTGACCATCCAATCTTTTTTACCGAAACTCACTACTTGAGCAGACACTGGAACAGGACATCTGGAAGTTGCAGTATATTGCACCTGTGTGTCCCTGGCCGCGCCCTTGGCATCCCCCGCTGCGTCCTCTGCCTTGTCACCCAACCTTCCAGACTCGTGCCTGGCATCGCGAGATGCGCTCTTGGCGCTCCCCTCAGCATCGTCGGCGGCGGAACCGAGTGCGTGCTTGGCATCGTCGGCCTTGTCTTCGATCCACTCTCCCGCATCGCCAGCAGCGCGCTTGGCCTTCGAAATGAGGTTGTCGCTGTGGCCCGAAGCTTCGTCAGCCTTGTCTTCAGCCCAGTTCTGCAGAGGCATACGGAATGTTGAAAATGCAAAACATTTGATATTTCGCAGCTCGTCTTGTCAAGATTTTGGCATCTCATATATATCCAGGAGGTGTGGAAGAACGACTACAACTCGGTGTCATGACAGCAACGAAGCTCGAACTTGGACAGCCAACTAAGCGTTTTATGCTGTTGATTTTGTAGTAGCAAACTGCAACTGAGTTGTATTTAAACTGCTTCATGCGTCTGGACTGGTGCAAAACGAAGGGCAACAACAATGACCTGAACGCAGTAGCAGATCACCGAACCAATCCCGAAGTATTTTGAAAGCCAGTACTGCAAAACAAGGAGAGCAGGTCAAATATGAAAACATACCTGAGTGTCCCTGGCAGCACCCTTCGCATCGCTCTTCAGGCTTCCTGCTGCGTCCTCTGCCTTGTCACCCAGTCTCCCAGAGTCGTGCCTGGCGTCGCGAGATGCGCTCTTGGCACTGCCCTCAATGTCGTCAGCAGCTGACTTCACATTCCTCTCGGCGTCCCTGGTGGCACCCTTGGCGTCGCGGGACAGGTCCTTGGCGGCCCCCTCAACATTGCGGCCAGCCTTCTTGGCCTGAAGTCAAAACAAGGAGGTCAATGTCAATGAAGAGAATTGAGGATGTATGTGATACAATTAACATCCCAAAATGTATGCTCCTGAGCCTTCCTTTCTGGCAGTCGTGACTGCATTGAGCACCTTTCACCTAGGTACAAGATTGAGGTTCTATTCAATGCAGAAGAATCCAGAAACGGGAGTGCAAATATAATAAGCGCTAACAAGCTGGTAATGCGAGCAGTCAAGGAACCCTGTAAACAATGCAGCAGTATCAGTCCAGCTGAGCCCACAATGTCTCCCCACAAAAAATTCCTATCTCTGCTTAAGAATGGACACCCTATAAGAAGACACCGAGTAATGCATGCATGCTAACCTCATGCTTGGCATCGTGAGCAGCTCCGCCAAGGTCGTCGCGCGCATCATCAACCTTGTCCTTGAGTGCGTCAGCAGCATCTGCCACGGCGTTGGCAACCTGCTTGAGGGGGTTCTGCACAAACCAATGAGATAAGTCAGGCCTCATCCAGCACTGTACGGTTTCAAGACCAATTTGCTGCATTAGCTTGAGAAAAATGTCTATCTTCACAGCATTTTGGCCAGTATTTGAGCTGGCACACAACCTACTACCGCTGGAACAAATAAAGCTACTTCTCAAGCTTGTTTTCTGTGTTCGACCCAATCGTAAGAAGTACCTCCACCATCGTCTGCTTCAAAGGACTTCGACAGGTGTTCCTTTCTAGATTGGCCAGTCATTCTTAGTGCTGGTCCTGACGGTTTTATCAGCTCCAACACCAATCCAGCAAGGAATGCATGCATGGTAATAGCTACCTTTTTCTCCAGTTCAAAGAAACTTGCGGAACAGAAACTGCCTCCAATGGGAGAAAACACTCAGCATTGTCCTATGAGATGCAGTTTGAATGCAGAGACCATCGAATCCCATCGAAGTAGCAGGGGACCTCAATGAAAGCAGCTTCACCCTTACCTTGTCAGCCCTAACCACGAAGGTCCTCTGAATAGCCGGCTTCTGCACAGTCGTCAATCTGATTGGCGTCCTAACAATGCTGTTGTGGCTGGAAGCAACAGACGAAGCCCCGACCAGAGCGGCCGGGGAGACGGTGCTCCTGAGAAGGGTGGAGGAAGCCATTGTGTGAATAATTGCAATCGAACTTCTTTGAAGATGGTGGTGGTAAGTTTAGTAGACTAGGTAGTAGGAAAATGCAAGCTAAGCAATCGTCTTGTTGAGATGAAGGAAAACGTGCTGCCGCAGGGAAGGTAAGTAGGCAAGATGGAAGTTGAGCAGAACGCTGAACAGAGCAGAACCTGAGGACTTCTCTTTCGCTCCAACTCTTCGCAACCTTCCTTAGTAGCGACTCGTGCAGCTGCCGGATCCGGAGTGTCATGCAGATCTGGCAGGCCAGGGGTTGGTCAAACAGGGTTTCGATTGACACTTGCTTGCAGAGATTGCTGCCATGACGTTCTGCACCAGCTGTCCACTTTCCAAGGCACCTGTCAAAGTTGTCCACCTCGGACTGCGCCCAGTCAGCCTGCCAAGTGGATTGTTTGCATGGCGTGTTTCTCTTTGCGCTCGACAACCAGCTGCGGGGGGGTTCCGTCACCCTTTTCCGGAACGTCGGCGTAGAAGCACTCTCATAGCCGTCGATCGAGCAACCATTGTTGACACTCATCAATCTTGACTGACACGTGGAGCCTTATGCTTGCAGCAACGACAAGCCGGGCGGTTTGAATCCAAATTCGCGTGAACTCGTCGCCTATATAGGCCCTTCTTCACATTCGCCTGTACGGTGTACACTGTACAGTACTGTACGGGCACCCCGCACGGAACACCTCCAGGCTCTGGTCCTCTGGTGCCCCTACTGTACCGTCTGGACTCTGTAGGTCTACAGGTACTACCTGCCGACCTACCGGTCTGTGCCTCAGGTTCTCAGGTGTCGAAATCAGACTGGTAGTCCTACTCCGGGCACTCACCGGGGCACGGTCTGCCTGGCCGGTGTGCCTGGGATATGGACGGTGTGCTGCTGCTGTGCTGCCTGCATCATGCATGCCATGCAGCTCAAGCTTGCTTAGCTGCTGACGTCCTCCTCGGCCTACGGGCAATGCATCATGACTTGCGCGTTCACAGATGATCGCAATCTGGACTTTGGGGCAGCTGAAGGGCTAGGTAGGATCAGGTTGCGGGCGCCAGAAAGCAGTTGCAAGGATTTGAGGATCAGAGGAGCTTTAGCCTTTCAGGCGGTGGGCGGTCTTCGACCATAGCGTCAGGTCCTCCTCAGAGCTAGCGAGCTAGAGGAGCGTGTGCAGGGAAGAGAAGGTTTAATCAGCGGTGGTTGGAGTGATTGCGCGAGATTAACTTAGTTACTTTGGGCCTGGAAGCATGGACACCTCAGTGGCAGTTGCTTGCAGGACCTTGGGAAGCTCAGGTCTTCTGGCGGGTCACCCGCGCAGTGGATGCTCCAGTAGAACTTCTAGAGATGCAGATTGGAGCCAAAGGCGTAGTCAAGCTTGTAGCAGTTACTCCATGCATGTCCAACAAATGCCGCTGACTGACGCCGCACGGCGCACCAGCAGCAGACATACCAGCGTGGGTGGCAGGTTGTCAGAAAGGGGCTGCTTAGAGAAGAAGGCGCCTAGAGGTGCAGTGATCACTTGTTCCTTCAGAAAGCAATCAGAAGCTGCGGAAGCTCTTCGCATGACATCACAGGTGAGTTGGCGGGTAACCTGATCCCAGTTGCACATTTCATTGGTAACACCATACTGCGGTATGATCTTCTCCCCTTCCTTGATTTCTGTGCATGGCCGATTGGCGGGCCAGTGATTGCGATTCCTGAGTCTCTTCAGTTTTCAGTTTTTGTTTATGTCGAGAAGAAGAAAGCTTCAAGTCTGGTTGCAGCCTGGCAAGGCATCATGGCAGGCTTATGGGACGGTGTCACAGGTTCCTGCAATCACTGGCCAAGTGATCTTGCAGGATGAAGGAGCTCATTCAAGTGGGCTTTGCTGGTTGTTTATCATCGTTGACTGTTCAGTGTAGGTCCCCATGTTGTCAACATCCTTAGGTTAAGGTTACAAGTGGCTCAAAAGCGCTTCTGCTTGAACATCAGCAATTAGGCCCGGTGATGTTCCGACTCTGCTAGATCACAAAAGTATCATATGAAACTCTATTAATGCTGGCTATTCCGCCTCCAGATACGAGTGTCCGAGAGCAGCCTTTCCGTCTTCTTTGAAGCATCTCATATCTTCGAGACTGTTCAAAGGGGATTATTTGATATTGGGCAAAAGTTATTGGCTATAAGGTTCTCGTCTGTAATGCACTGCTCACGTTGTGCAATGTACAAATTACGTATGTGTCTATCTATCTTTTCGGAAGAGCGTCGGAATCTGCTTTTGGTATGGGTCATTCATCTGGGGACTTACTCCGCACCTTCGAATTACTGTAAATGCAGGCAAGGCAACCCGTTTGCTTGCAACCCGTCAAAGAGCTTGTTCAGTGCGTCGACCAGAAGGTGCACGATCCGTCCGAGCCAGCCCGTTCTCACTTACCCCAACGGATTGTCTCCCTGATTCTAAGTCTAGCGCTGTCCCTCGGACCCCTGAGCACGTTCACACCAGCCCATGCAACGGACAGTCCTCAGGTGGTCGGGGCTGCGGGGCTCCAGGACGGTGTAAAGACTCTATTAGACGCCACCAAAGACAGTTCGAACGGTCAGGCGAGTGCCGAGTCGGTAGTCAAGAAAGCTCAGGAGCTCAAAGCGAGTGCGTCCGCAGCCATAGAGAGAGCGAAGGAGAAGTCAAACAAAGTTCGGAAGGGGACTGCGACTTTGCTTGAGGCAGCGAAAGACGGCCCCGGGGGGAGAAAGGAAGCGGAGCAAGTGGCGCAGAAAGCGGACGAGCTCAAGGCTCAAACGTCCGAGGGCGTAAGCGCGACATTGGAAAGGGCTTCCAAGGTGAGGGAAGGGGCGAAGCTGCTCGCGGAGGCCGCCCAAATCGATTTACCGGGGGGTTCTGCGAGGCCGGTTGAGAGTGCTTCGGAGAGTGCTTCAAACAACCGGGGGAAGGAAAAGGAACCGGATAGAGAAAGCGGTTCAGGTTCGGTTTCCGAGTCGAACCGTCAGCAGAGTAAAGGGTCGGGAGATTTTGCTGGCGCGTTCAAGGACAAGATAGACAGCCTGAAGGAGGGGCTTGCGAAGACCCCCGAAGCGATTTCGAAGGGCTCGAAAGGAGCGGTGAAAGAAGAGGCGCCAGCGGGGGTCGAGAAAGGGGTTCGGGGGGCGGTTAAAGAGGGGGTTACGGGGAGTGTGAAAGAGGGTTTGAGCGGGGCGGTCACGGGCGGCCTGGGAGGGGGCGTGATGGGGAGCGTGATGGGAGCGGCGAAAGGAGCAGTGTCCGGGGCGCTCGAGAAGTGAGGACATGTAAGAAATGATGACAAATGCCTTGCAGGTTTGTCAGATATGTACAAGCTAAAGCAGGAAGCATCACAGTCAAAAAGTTCCTACAGTAGATGCGTCAAAAAGAGAGACGAGTGAGACAATAATATACTGGCCGGTCCCGTGGCCGGTTTGCAAATTAAGTTCGTAAGCCTGGCTACAGATTTTTTAGGAAGATTTGCTCAAAGCACTGGAACGGCTAACATTGTAAAGATTTCATTTTTGATTTACAACTACTCCTTTTCCTCTTCCTCTGACAAGTCGCTCTTCACGATCTTGGTGAAGTTTGTGAAATTTTCCGTGTCGCTGATTTTCCGTTGGGTTGAATTCAATGTAGAAAATTGCCTTCTCATAGTCTGATCTGCGACCTACCTGCTCAAGACGATAACTTGGAGGAGTCTAACCAATCATTTCTGCTAGTCTGCTTCTGCGACCTACTCTCTTGGACCCAGCTATTCGTTCTTCCTCTGCCTCTTGTCTTCTTGAATCCTCGAGATCGAAAGGATTAAAAAGGCGAACTGTCGAAGCTGGGAGGAAAGCACTTCGACTCGCCTTCTTGGTGGCAGCATAAGCGCGGCGGTTGGATATCGAACGAACAAATTCTGCCCTATTATAAGGATTTTCTGGTGATGATTTTGTCTGATACTCACCCATCGTCTACGTGCCCTTAATTTCAGTAATTTCGTCTGCTTTATAATCAGTGGCATTTGACTTGATCTCCATATGTTCACATCCAGCAGTTGCTCACTTCATGCTGTTTTTGTCTGGGACTTGCAAAGGCCGAGGTTCCAAGTATCTTGTGAAAGAGAAACGAGGACCTGCTCCAGAGCCTGTCGTGTTATTGAAAGACGTCCCGTTACATTGCATACATGAAGTTCTGTGTTCAACAGTGAAAAAGTGAAAACAGTGAAAGTTAGGGTTCTAGTCTATCGTAATCCTAAACGCCTGTAGAGAATGGATCATCCTATACCGTCGATCCCCTCTACGTACCTTCTCCTGTTTGAACCGTCCGATCGTTGTCAAAATGTCGGCCGGCGTACCGGGCAACATTGGTTTCCGGGACCGGTATCGTACCGCGTCTCGATCTCTGCATGCAGCCCCTCTGTGCGTTTTACGTGGCGCACTCTGCGCCCGCCTGATGTGGCTAACGTTTTGCTGATTGGCGGGCGCTGGCGACGAATGCATGCATGACGGATGCAGCCCCCATTGCCAGCTCATCCTCAGAACAGATGCACTTTGATTCTCAAAGATCCTCGTCACTGGTTTAGGTATGTTCAGTCGCATTGCAGTTTGCAGCTCTGAGCTCATCTGTTGACTCTTTCATTTGAGAAGAAGAGGAAGAAGACTGCTTCAAGATTGCAGAATTCACCAAACATTGCTTCCACCACTAAGATCTTCACCCTCAGCACCTCCCTCCATCTTGCAACCACCAATTCGTACCACCTTTCACTGAGTCAGCTCAATCTTGTCTGCAATACTGCGCACACATTGCCAATTGTAGAGTCTGATCACTTCGAGCGAATCATCATGGCTTCCACTATCTCCACTGCATCCATCAACATGGTGGCACCCGCAGGGGTTGCGAGCAGGGTGACCTCCTCAAGCCAGAGCATTTCTAGCACTGCTGCATTGGCACCTTGCACCAGAACCTTCAAGGCCAGCAGGAGAACTCTCCCTGCGGTAAGCCAGCGGCCTGGTTCAATGAGGTTACAATTCCAAACTCGAAGATGCTCTGCTTGAGATAAGAAGTGGTGAATTGTGATTGCATTGGACATGTATGTGCAACTTGCGCAGAAAGTGGTTATTGACTTGATAAGCTCTCAAGGATGGCAGTAAACAGATGCACTGGGGAAGGAAGTTGTAACGGTCAGTGCAGTGAAGCAGATGGTGGTGGTGGCTTTGAAGGAAGTGAGAGTTGCAATGTAACAGTGGGGATGAAGTTGAAAGCTTGAAGACAACTGTGGTGATTGGCCAAGCTCTATAACATGATCACATGTACCAGAAATGGTATGTAACATACAGGTTGCATTGATTGATAGATGATTGCAGAGTAACTGCATACAGTCTAGTCATCAGCTGTGACGAAGTTGGAGATTGTGGTTGTCCTTTCCACCATTCTCCATTGTCACTTTTCTGTACAGTTTACGAAGCGTTACTCTCAAGTTTAGATTAGTAGCCCTTGGATGTCTTGTCTTCTTTTCAAGGGCGTCGGAGCTCTATTCTTGACAGACTGGGCGCCAGTCCTTTGTAGAGATTTGCAAAGGCCAGTGTAGCATAAAGCTGTGACAAGTCTTGTCCAGGATAATCAGCCCTAGCAGCTCGAGTTCTCACTGAGCCAAAACGATGACATCCTGAGCTCAACAATTACATTTAAGCACAAGTCATCCTTATAACAAGGCCATTTTTAGCAAGTCTTTCTAGTTCACAATGTGCTGAGAAAGAAGAAACCTCACCCCTTGGCAAGGTTCGACTTCAGTACACTGCTGTTTCTGTACTATCTCACAGAGAGTACAGCTCTGCAGCCGGCCCTCCATAAGCTCTGAAAATGAAGTTCCCCAGTAGCAGCCTGGCAACGTTTGGAGATCCCATTTGCATGCACAGTTTGACTCACCCACTCAGCAAACCAAACCAATCCTTCTCCAGCTTCCCCGAAGCCATCATTGCAAGAACGACCTTTCACCTTACATTCCCTCATGCCTCATTCCTCTCTCCAATCTACATAGTGCAGCTGACAAACCCAATGCTCTTCTCGCTTACGGTCTGTCACCAGTATCAGCCCCAATCTTGATACCAATTTAAGTGTATGTCATCCCTCCACTTTTCAGGTCCGCGCCTCTGCCTCCCAGGAGAAGCGGTCTGGCCCCGCTCAGCTCCTTGCGGGCTTGGGAGCTGCCGCCCTCATTGCCAGCAGCGGAGTGAACCCTGAGGCTGCCAATGCCGCCTGGGTGCCCCGCCCCTCTATCCAGGAGAAGGTCGAGGACGCGTCTCCCAAGGAGGCTATCAAGGTTGTCAGGGACGTGTTTGGAAATATCAAGGATGACGCCAGCTCCGCTGCCAAAGATCTGCAGGTGAGTTGTTTGCTGTCACAAAAAGGTTTGATGTTGCTTCCTCTTGTCAAGCAAGTGTCCATCATGAACACGAAAAGGTGTGAGAATGGAGATGTTGAACTGAGCTTGGAATAGCATTCTGTACTCTCTTATGCCAGCATGAGGATTGCTTAGGTAAATAGAGGAGAAACCAGCGGTTCTATAAGAAGGCAGAAGGAGGTTCAAGTGCGAAAGCATTCAACCTCCCCGAGATGGGGTATATCCTTGTCTTCGCAGCCATCCTGAGCAAGCTCCTCTCCTTTTTCCAGGCCCAGGCCCCCTCCCCCTCCTTCAGCTTCCCCAACCCCTTCGCCAGCAACCCCCTCGACCAGGCCAAGGATGCTGCACAGAGCGCTGACCGCACAGCCAAGGACACCGCCAAATCCGCCCTCGGTTCCAACCCCCTGAACAAGGCCAAGAACATTGCTCAGAGCGCCGACTCTCAGGCCAAGAGCGCGGCCAAGGACGCGGACAGGTCTGCCAAGAACATCTTCGGGTTGCCGTCTAACCCCCTTGCGGGTTTGGGGGATAAGGTGCAGGGCAGCGCTGAGCAGGCAAAGGGCGGGGTCAAGGAGGCGGTTGGGAGCGTAACCGGGTCTAACCCTGTGGCTGGAGGAAAGAACATTCTGGGTCAGGCTGTTGACAAGGTGCAGGGCAATGCCGAGCAGGTGAGACACATCTTTCACATTGAACCTTCTTTCAATGATCCTGAGTGATTGACTTGTCTGGTCACCAAAGTGTATTTTCCCAGGCCTTTTGAGAGTCTCGAACGAAACATGAGATTTACACTTACAAAGAGACAACACGCAGAAGCGCGAGCAGTACAACAAAATTCGGAAAGTTAAGAGGCCATTGCAATAGTCGCCTCTGCTGGTATTCGTTCGTCTCAGTCGAGGAAGTAAATTCGTTGGAGCAGCTCGACGTGAGAAGTACCAAGGTTTACTGCACATGGTATGGGAACCAAGCGGCGCCGGCTGACGTTTCGTGTTCAATTTAAGCTAAAGAACCACCTCGTGAGTTGAGGCAATCAAGTCATTTCGAAAACGGTATGCTGGTCACGACTCACCAGGAACGAAACCCTCACCTTAGACCGCAATTCCTGCGCAGACCAAGGGCGAGGCCAAAGGCCTGTTCTCCTCCAACCCCTTCAGCGGTGCCGCCAACAAGGTCGCCGGTGCAGCCCAGGAGGCCCGCAGTGACGCCACCGGCGCCGTTGCTGACGTCACTGGTGCCAAACCCCTTGACGCCGCCAAGAACTCCGTTTCTTCCGCCGTGGACAAGCTAACCGGAACGCTCCGGGAGGCGCAGGGCGAGGCCAAGAGCAAGCTGCCCCTGGGGATTGCTGGGTTGAACGACAAGGTGACGGGCAGTGTCAAGGAGGCTGGGGCGAACGTCAGGGACGCGGTTAGCAGCGTGACCGGAGCTAACCCGGTTGACGGCGGGAAGAACCTGGTGAACCAGGCTGCGGACAAGGCCTCCGGATCCGCTAAGGAGGTGAGCACGTGAGATTTTCTCTGTCAGTTGCACATGCGAATCCTTTCGCAAACATTGCTGGTCGACGAGGCTGTGACTTTCTTTCTAGTACTTACTTGTCTTTGAGGATGATATGACATATCTTCTGGGGTCTCGAAGGTCTTCCAAACACGTTTCGATACACAAGGAAGCTGTGTTCCTAATCGTGAACGTCGTTATACGTTGTTGACGGGCCGCGTTCTCCTTTACAATCTGCTTGGAATTATAAGCTTCACCGTGTTGAAAGTAGATTGCCTCCTCGTCAAGGTTTGCACCCGCCAGTAAGCATCTTACCCTACTCCGCAGCTTCCCCGAGTTTTTTCTGATCATTGTTATGCACGGTTGCAGGCCGTCGGTGACTCGAAGGGCCTGTTCAGCAGCAACCCTCTGTCCGGCCTTGGCGACAAGCTGAGCGGCGCGGTCCAGGGCGCTGCTGGCGATGCGCGCGGCCTGGTGGGCGATGCCACGGGCAGCAACCCCATCGACGCCGCCAAGAACGCCGTTAACTCTACGACCGACCGCTTGAGCGGTGCTGCCAACAAGGCCCAGGGCGAAATCAAGGCGCAGGGGAGCAAGCTGCCCCTAGGAATTGCCGGGTTGAACGAGAAGGTGACGAGCGCTGCCAAGGAGGCCGGGGTGAACGTCCGGGACGCCGTTAGCGATGTGACCGGTTCTAACCCGGTTGACGGTGGGAAGAACCTGGTGAACCAGGCTGCGGACAAGGCCTCCGGATCCGCTAAGGAGGTGAGCACAAGGAAATTTTTCTCTTTGTCGCCCCTGGCAATCCGTCTCCACACCGTTGAAGGAGGTATTTTGTGTCTTTCATCATGCAAGAAAGTCGTGGTTCCCAAGCTACATTGCCGAGTGTGGGCAGACAACTAATCAACAACTTGAAGATGATACACCCCCGTCGGCGGGTCATCTTTTCAAACCTGCTTGGACGCACAGGTCTTTAGAGTCAGAAAGTCCCCGCCCTTTGCATCAGCTTCTCATCAACGCCTGTAGCGCTCAAAAACAACCAAGCTCTGTATCTTTGACCGACTCCGCAGCTTCGTACTTCGCTGACCGTCACCTCGCACGATTGTAGGCCGTCGGCGAGTCCAAGGGCCTGTTCAGCAGCAACCCTCTGTCCGGTCTGGGTGACAAATTGAGCGGCGCGGTCCAGGGCGCTGCCGGCGACGCGCGCGGCCTGGTGGGTGACGCCACGGGCAGCAACCCCATCGACGCCGCTAAGAACGCCGTTGACTCTACGACCGACCGCTTGAGCGGTGCCGCCGATAAGGCGCAGGGCGAGATCAAGGCGCAGGGAAGCAAGTTGCCCCTCGGGTTTGCGGGTTTGAACGAGAAGGTGTCGGGCGCTGCCAAGGACGCCGGGGCGAACGTTAAGGACGCGGTCAGCGACGTTGCGGGGGCTAACCCGGTCGATGGCGGCAAGAACGCGCTGAGCGGGGCGCTCGACAAGGCTTCCGGGTCGGCTAAGGAGGTGAGGCCAAGATTCTATAGCCGATACATGCTTGAGATGAATCACAAACCCTCGACTTTGAAATTATTTCGCGGAATCCGCTCAGTGTGATCAACTTTGCATCTTTTTGTGAATCTTACTTCGACAGCGGTTGCTGTCGGTCCCGGTACGCCCATAGCGAAGGGAGCGTTGCATATAGATTTGTCCAGTCATCGTTGGCATCTCTCTCTTCGAACTCAGTCGCTCGGGAATGTGCAGGTTGGTGGTCGGTGGTTTTATCTTCCAATGTGAATGCCCCAATTCGTATCGCTCAAATGACCTTCACAGTGCCTTGGATCCGAAGTTCAGAAATTCCTCGCACCGCGGCGTGCCATACTTGGAATGAAAGCTTCGGGTTTTTGAATCTTGGTTATCTCCTTCTATGCCCTGGAGAACCAAAGGATTCAAATCGGTACACGAAAATTTCCAATCCAAATCTCGGCATTGATACTGCGGACGTCCGTTTTGTGTGCAGACTTTGGGCGAGTCCAAGGGCCTGTTCAGCAGCAACCCTCTGTCCGGCCTGGGGGACAAGGTGAGCGGCGCGGTCCAGGGCGCGGCCGGTGATGCGCGCAGCCTGGTGGGCGATGTGACCGGCAGCAACCCCATCGACGCTGCCAAGAACGCCGTCGACTCCGCGACCGACCGCGCGAGCGGTGCTGCCGACAAGGCTCAGGGCGCAATCAAGGCGCAGGGGAGCAAGCTGCCCCTCGGCTTTGCCGGCTTGAACGAGAAGGTGTCTGGTGCCGCTAAGGACGCTGGGGCGAACGTTAAGGACGCCGTTAGCGACGTGGCTGGGGCTAACCCCGTCGACGGCGGGAAGAACGCACTGAGCGGTGCGCTCGACAAAGTCTCCGGGTCGGCTAAGGAGGTGAGGGCTTCATTTTTGGTGCTTGCTCTTCAAATTGTTCAAGAAAAGCGGGCGACGCCTAGAAATTTTTCTTTTCCCATGAACGGAACACAACATTCTAAACGTCGCCCGCTTTCCAAGTTGCCTTGTGGTAGAACCTGAATCTCACTTGCTGATGGTAGCGCTTGCACCTGATGCTGAGCCTGACATAGTACTATAAATATATGGACTTGTCTTTCCAAAAAGTCCATATGTTTTTAGTGGCGAGGATGTCGGTTCCTTTCGGCTCTGCCTTTCAGCCGCCTTTGATGGGATCCGTCTCGGATCGCACTTCAAATAGCCGTGTGATCTGTCAACACTTTGAAATAAAAATTTGTGAAATAAAAATTTGTGCATCTTGGAGTGTGTCCAAATTACACCTTTCTCCTACTTGGATCTGGACATTTCAATCTTCGTCCGTCCTGCCGACTGCGCTCGGAATGCAAGTAGGCCAAGCTTGAAACAATATAGAATTTGTGGGATGCCGAGCAGTAGAGATAAAGGTTGTGCACTTTGGATCCGGCTTTCCTCTCCGCTTTTATCTTCACAATCAATGCTTCAAAGCTCAATTCCCCGCCTCGTCGTAATTCGCTGGTGTGATAAGCTTTGAAGTACGATAGATTGAAGTGCTGCGCCACTTGTTGATCATTCTCCCAGTCGCTTTGCAGACTGTCGGCGAGTCCAAGGGCCTGTTCAGCAGCAACCCTCTGTCTGGCCTGGGCGATAAGGTGAGCGGCGCTGTCCAGGGCGCGGCCGGCGACGTGCGCGGCGCGATTGGTGATGCCACGGGGAGCAACCCCATTGACGCCGCCAAGAACGTCGTTGACTCCGCGACCGACCGCGCGAGCGGCGCTGCCGACAAGGTTCAGGGCGAGATCAAGGCGCAGGGGAGCAGACTGCCCCTGGGGATTGCCGGGCTTGGGGATAAGGTGTCTGGGACCGCGAAGCAGGCGCAGGGCGAGGCGCGGGACATCTTGGGAAAGGTGACCGGGCAGAACCCGGTGGCCGGAGGAAAGAACATCCTGGGGCAGGCGGTGGACAAGGGCGTTGGGTCGGCTAAGCAGGTGAGAGAAAGCGCAGATCTTGGGGGTGAAGTCAATTCGAGCTGCGGGATTTGGAGCTCCGAGCGCGCAGACGTTGCAACGTCTGCGCCCCTGCAGAATGCTCCGATTCCTTTGTCGCTTGTCGTGTTCCGACACAAAAGCTCATTGCTTCTCTGCAACGCACGGGAAGTTGCGTGGGAGTTTCTTCGCGCCTCCTAGGAAGAGGCACAGAATCAATTGACCGGCAAATAGCATGAAGCAATTGGCCGATCAGGAGCCGCAGTCCGGCTTTCTGGTCCACAAGGATTGCGTTGAACAACCGACTCTCCAACCAGTACCGAGCTCTTATCATTTTCTCTACAGACTGTTGGCAAGGCCAAGAACCTGGCCAGCTCCAACCCCCTCGCCGGCGCGGCCGACCGCGTCGCGGGCGCCGCCCAGGAGACACGTGGCAACGCCAGAGACATCCTAGGAAAGGCCGTCGGCGCAAACCCCATTGACGCTGCCAAGAACACCGTTGCGTCCGCTGCGGACAGGGCAACCGGGACCGCGCAGCGGGCATCCGGAGATGTCAAGGGTGCTCTCGGCGGGTTTGACATTCGGGTAAGAGTCTCGACGTTTACTGGTCAAGTATGAGATTCGAAGACCTCGTCATGATTCGAAGACGAAGACAGATGGTTTCGGCAGAAGGCCGGTTGGATAAAAAACATTTCGCTTCGTAGAGCACGAACCTTTCTGTCGACCTGAAAGCGGATTAAAACGTCTTCTTCGGTGAATGTGTCCAAAACTTGGTCTTCAAATTGCGGACTTGACGCTTCTGATGTTCTGCGCTGCGCCATCTTCTGAAAATCGATTGTTGTTCCTGATGAGTGGTTTGGACAGTTTTCTCACGATGAGTCCTTCTTTCGCAGGACTCCATTGGCGAGGCGCAGAAGAAGGCCGGTGATATTGCCGACGCTGTGACCCCCAACGGGTCGCAAGTTGAGAAGTTTTTCGACGGCAAGAACTTGTAGTCTGCTCCATGTGGCTGTCGCATGCGACCATGCGCATAATTTTGGCGTGCAAGTCTAGCTTGTCAAGGTTGGTGTGCTCTTTCAGAGCCGTTGTACTTGCAAATAAGTATAGACACTGCGTGTATCAATACTGAGTGTTGAGAATAACGTGATATATCTTACTGAGCGAGAACGTCAATAAACAGCAGAGATTTGTGTTGTGTAATTTCGTGTAACTCTTAAAAATCTAATACGGGTTGTGTTTTTGACAGAAAAAGTTCGACAAATCAACTTCTAACTTCAGCACAATATATGGAATGTTCTCATCATTAGGCCCTTTGACAGCAATGCACCCAAACGTCCAATTTTAGTATGCCCTGATGATGTAAGTATCAGTGGAGGGATACATATGTTCGCCGATATTGCACAGACATGCAACTCGTTACAGTTGGCTTACATTTGGTCTTGATATGATGGAAAGCAACAAACTTTGCATCGCACTTGACTTACACACAACGATCATGACTTATACGACCGACCGTCGGTTTGTGCTGGCATGCAGCACGACGCTAATATCCTGTTTAAGTGGTACGCTTACTAGCTCTTCATAGGTAGTTTTCAGCTACAGATCGAAATCAATTATGAACAAACTGGCGTAGACCGCGCTCGCAAGTAAAAATGGGATCGAAGTGTTTGCTGTATCAACTAGGCAGCCCAAGCGAGACACAAGAACTCAAAGATCAAATGTAAACAACCAGGTGCATTCAGAACAGTGACTGTCATTGTCGAGCTGCGCTAGTACGTAATACGTAGTACGTACGTAATACGTAGTACTTAAGAAGGGGCAGCTGCATCATGCATGTGGACTATGCGCATATACACCCTTCCCAGCATGTAGTGCGCTGGCTCTCATATCAAGATCCAGATCACAAAAAGCTAGACTGCTCATTCATTACAACGTACGTCCAGGATAACGTAGTAATGATGCATGCTGAGCTAGTTTAGAGTTCAAAACTTGACTTACAGAATCCTTCTGAACACCCTCAGTCCGACCGTCAGAACCTGCAAATATTGCCATGATTTGGTAGCATATGACCGGATTTTGAAAGAGCTAAGAAAATTTTGGGCTATGACTATATAAGTGTTGCTCGTTTGACTCATATATTCCTTGCCACTCATCGATTCGCACTTCCTCTACGTTTTCGACGACACGGGCCTTCTTGATCCGGGGCGTCTCTGGACACAATGAACCACCATCCTGCAGGACATTGATTCCGCCTATCATGATCTCAGTCACATTCTTCACTTCCTATTAAAAGTGTAAACCTATAACAATCTACTCATAGCGACCGTGCTCAGCACAGAGAAAGGCGCCATCCCTTGCGTACTCAGCTTCTATTCTACACATGTACTAACTCTCCAGTTGCAATTCGAGCCGGCCATCCGGAAGGTGCTCGCCGAACTTTTGTTGGTGGAATGCGTCGAGAATGGGCGTCAGCCGCGGATTGGTCAGGCCGTTGAGGTACTGCTCGCAGGGGAAGCACCAGAACGACAAATCGCTGCAGGAAAAAAGGCGTCCGTATGACCTCATTCTTCTCCCTTCGTTATTCAGCCTCAGGTCTGCAACTCGTTGTTTGTCTGTTTTACTCTGTTTCATGTTCTTATGTTGCAAGGGCTACGCGATGAGTACACGATCGTCTCTGCGCTTGACGGTCTTTCCAATGTCGTCAGCGCGGCAAATGCTATTGCGTGCCACAATTTTCATGCAACAAAGGTGCTTTCATAAGCGCAGGGAAGCGTGCAGAAAATTGGCGATGCTCACGCACAAAGGTGCTTTGAACAGTGCAGGGAGGCATTCGACGCTTTACAATGCTGAAAAAGTGAGTCAAGAAAGAAAATGGACAGAGGGGGTCTCTCCAGCACGGTTAGACGGCCCGTTTAGTTGATGATAACTGGCAAAGAGCTTTACGCTGTACAGAGATGAAAAGTGAACGCCGCCTTCAATCCGCGGCTGAAGAAAGCTGCCGCCCAGATCACCGAACAAGTGAGCAAGGAAACCGCGTCTCGACACGGCGTCGTCTAGAACAGCAGCCGAGCCTCCCGCTCAAAGCCCTCGAGCGTGCCTGGAATCGAGCAAGCAAACACGATTTTCTGCTTTGAAGGCCGGAGCGGAACGGAAACGCCCGATAGGGACCAAAGAGATTTACAACGCACGTGAAGCTGGCCGCCACAGGGTGCTGCGTGTCGCCATGGTGTTGCAGCATATGCCCCTGCACGTAGCGGCCGCAGTACACGTGTCCGCACGACAAGCACGCCCAGTTCTCTGACTCGTCGTCACACCTGCAAAGGATTTCTGAATCTTATTAACGGCTGCCGATTTTCGACGGCTTTTTCGGAAGCAATATTTCAAGGAAACTTGTTTTGGTTATCAGAAGTCCCTTCAGAGAAAATGATGACAGTTGAAGTGAGATCTGCTGCAACCTGCAACAGGCACCTGTCCAGATATTGCCAAAACTTCGGTCACTTGAATGCGAAGCTTCTGATAGTACGACAGAATTCCGTCTCAGGCTTTTTTCGTGCGTTCTCGTGAATCATCCGAGAAACAAACGAAGGACCAGAAGTCTTGATACATGACGACGACTTGAGATCAGAACGTAGCTTCTGGAAGAGCCGCGGTTCAGTTGGGCAGAACAATACAGGTATATTCGGTGCTATCAATTGCCGTTTTTAGAAGCGTCGCTATTCAAACTGTCGGCTTTTCCCAACTTTTGCAACCGTTGTGTTGATGACTCAGCTTCCTCTTGGAACGGAGCGAATGACATCCACGCTTTCTTCTTTCTTTTCCACAACCTCATTGGAGTTGATCATGCCTTGTAAGATTCGGGACCCACAAAGTTTTCGGACTCCGTCGACAGGCGACCCAATCGAAACAATGCTTCGAACAATACATCTTCATGGCAGAGCAACCATGGTCCCGGTTGCACACCAGAGCCTCACGTTCCTTAAAAGTTCGAAACCCGCATGGAGTAACGCTTTTGAACCCCAGAAACGTCTGACTCAAAAGCCAGCAGGCAAGTCTTTCAACCCGCAATTCACAACCATGGGGGGCAGATCTAGTGTTCCCATAGGCCACATCAAGTCTCCCTGATGTTTTCAGAACCTGAGTAGGCACCGCATGGAGGGCTCACGTTTCGCAGGCGCTTGTGACCCGTGGCAGCTGCTCATGAGTCACGAGGTCGGTGGCCTGCAAGTGCGCGCAGTTGTCGACCGGTTGGACCCAGGCGATGTTTGCACCCGCCGCATCAGCCTGCAACAGGTGTACAGTCGCTGACTTCTTGTCTGGAATGTTCGACAAATGCTGCCAAGCGGGGATCCTCAATTCGACTCTATGTCAGCTAGGACTCTGAAATGGAGTTTTGGTCATCACGTCTTGTTTGTGGAGCAAGGACCTTCAGCGACCAGACACCAAAATGACTAGACCCCCGACAATCTGTATAACCTGCCTTGGAAGATGTAGGCAGTTTGATAGAGGAACAATCCTGGTGGCGTGCATCTCAAGACTATTGCAGAGTGGTCTGACAGGAATGTACACAGGGCTTGAGCCTTTTGGGAGTCTGAACAATTGCGTCAAAGAGTCCCTGCTTGCAGCCACCCCGGTTGGGACTGCGCCAGAATATCAACATGATCCCCATTGGTGAACAAATGGGCTAAGGACTGGGACTGTCCCATCAAAGGTCCCTTTGTAATTGGGTAAGCTCTATGACAGACGAGCAAAGGGCCAATCGAAGGGCGTGAGATATATGAAGAAAATCAGCAGACCTTTCATGAGTTCCACCTTCTGTAGCAATCAGGCCAAAGTGGTGTGTGTTTACCTTTGTCAGAAATAGAGATTCTGACATCCCTCCTGACGGCCTAAAGATTGTGCACTCTCGGCGGGGGCTAGAATCACAACAAATGGAAAGAAAGAATGCAGTCAACCGATGTTTGAAGAAATAGAAGAAACGAACCTTCAGAGTAACACCACCAATTAACCAGTAATAGAATTGCAAAGCTAACCCCGAACTCATCACCGTGACCCCATTGATAAAGATTGGAGGATTTCTGAACAACAAGTTTTCCCCATGGTTAAGTGGGAAGAAAGATGTCAGCAATTGCCTTTCATCAAGATGTCAGCAATTGCCTTTCAAGCAAGTACTAATTCACAGCTCTGGACCTCACCTGCGGATCATTCGCACTTTCGTTGGCTTCCCGTGCCGCTTCTCCGTTGGAACTCAGCTTTTCTTTTCCTCTGTCCTCAGCACGCCCCATTGTGAAACTAAAAGTACTATGCAGCAACCAGAGCAATCAAAATCCTGCAAAGACTTGAGTCCGCTTGTGGTCTAGAGAATGCGGCATTCCTGTATCGAGAATCTAGGCGCCCAAGCATTGTCCCCATGGGATCGAAGAATGGAGGCCAAGTACATCTGGGGCAGTGCAGAACTGATCCTTGCTCAGCTCAATCGTCGACAGGCTCTGATTAGGATATCCAGCAAGAACTTGATCGAACGGTTCAGGGAGCCAAATCAAACTGTATGCTCTACAACGGACGGGTGTAAACGAGCGGAGTAAACAACAAACAGACCCCCTAAATTCCGTGTCATGCACAGTCATGCACAAATCGAAGCCCATGTGACGGACCTTCCCAAACATTCTGAGACTGATACACTGGTCACACATGCCGG